CTGGGGGTAATTACAGCCCAGAGACACCCACTGCTGCAGGCTGTGGGTGAGCCAAGTGTGTCACCACCAGCACAGTGCCTGGGATGTGACTCACACCATGATGCATGGCAGGCCCTTCCTTATGGGTCATTCAGGAGCATCTCTGTGGGTGCCCCATAGCCTGGACTGTCACAAAGAGGGACAGTGAGAGGCATTATCWGTGTTTCTGCTGGCTAAGGGGCAGAGGGGTCCACATGGGAAGCTGTGGCCTGAGACAGAACCTTTGTTTTCCCCCAGATCTGCTAYGATGCTGCTTTAGGTCTGCTCAAGATCTTGTCCTTGGAGTGATCTTGGGCTGGAGCCCACGTGACTTCATGCACGTATTTATACAACAAAGGGCAGCTGCTCTCTGAGCTCTGGGCATTGTGCCATCCACACCACTCACACTGACTTACCAGGACACTGTGCCCTGTCCTCTCCTTCTTCCCCACCTGCCCAGCCTCTGTGGGGAGCAGGATCAGTCCACCACAAGCCTTGGTCAGTGGCTGAAGGCTGGGGCAGACAGCAGACTCCTGGGGGTTCTGCAGGGCCAGGCACTGAGGAAAGGGGTGAGCAGGGGCCCAGCCAAGAGCTCAGCTTTCCAGTGTCCCACATGTGAAGGAAGCTGCTTTGGGAGGCATGGCATCCTGCTGATGGCACCTACAAAGCAGGACAGGGGCGGGCATCCCAGGATAGGGCAGGCAGGAGCTGTGCTAGCTCAGGGTCCTGCTGGCAGCAGTGATGCCTGTTCCAGTGCACCATTGGTGCACCACCAAGCAGAATGATGGGGCTGTGCAGACCACAGAACACCAGATAAAACCTCCAGCTGTGCATYTTTCCCCCTCTACCAGGCTGCTGGCTTCATTTCGCTGGAGAAACCACTGCTTGGCTTTTTCTTCTCTTATCTTTTGTTTCCCTTTGGGGTCAGTATATTTTGACCACTTCTCCCTTTCTAGATACCCTGAGAGGCATAGGAGGTTTCTCAGGATTTGTTTTTCTCTGGAAGCTGTACAGGCTCAGAACTGCAAAGGGGAAGTCCAAGCCCTTTGTTTAATGGGATAGAAGGAGAAATTCCAGGCTCCATGAAGCACTCCATCAGTTTTCTGTGAAAGAGAACTGCTATGACTGCGGTCAGCACATGGGGTGGGGTGTAACATTCACATGGGAGCAATGCAGAGGGGCTTGAGCAAAGGAGGAGGTGCAGGGTGAGGGTTTGTCAAGGAGATACAGAGATCTGCTCAGGCAGTGGGATGACCACTGGCACGATATGCCACCAGTGATGGCAAGCAGGTGGTGGGAAGTGGGTATRAAGCACGCAGGCCAAAAGAGCAGATCAGGAGCTCCGATCTCAGTGCAGGGAGTCTTCAGGCAGCAGGGTTCAGGAGGAAGCTAGTCTGTGCTAAGATACTGCCCCAAATCTTAAAATTTCCACCTGCTGGSGTTAGCCATGTTCCCTGTCCAGGAACCAGGGTGGGACATGCTGAAGATGATTCTGGGGATGGAAACAGGACTGGGTGGGCCAGATGTRGAGCTGCTTGGATGTCACAGCTGGAAACCCCATTTCTGATCACATCTGCCTCAAACCAAAATGCAGCATCCCATGCCCACCCCAGCCTTACTCCACCCTGCTCCCAGCTGCAAACTGCTTATGTCCAATTTTATGTGCTAAAAATACCTTTCTGGGCAGTCAGCAAATGCGCAGCCAAACGGGAGAYGTTGGCAATCTGAGCATGAAGGGGAGTTCGGATGTGTTTGGGATTGGTGTGGGCTGCAGCACCAGGCCATTGGGCTGGCAGATTTGTAGAGGGACCTGCACCAAGGTGGCAGTGCCGGGGCAGAGCCTTGCCTGGCTTGGGTGTGCTTCTGGGGAGAAGGTGTGTTCAAGAAAGGCGGGGAGATGCTCCCTGCGGAGAGCAGCCAGCACATCCTGCTCCCTCCCCTGGGAAGAGGTGATGTAGCAGTCATAACAAAGGGATTACCCAGCCCCCAGGGCCTACCTCAGCTCTGCCCAGCACCACAGTGCCCTCCTGGGAGCCCTACAACATGCTGGGCCCCCCCCCTGTCCTGGATCAGACCTGGCAGCTCCTGAACACCATGGGAGCAGAGACGGTAGCCTTGTGCCAGGCTGGTGGCCTCGGGAGACCTGTTSCACAAGAGGGAATCCCTGCCCTGCCCTTGTCACCAGCTGGGTGACTGCAAAGGTGCCCCAGTGCTACCACCCTCTCAGGTCAACAAAGCTCCCTGCAGACCTGCCAGATATTTCACTGGGTCCAAAGGAAACCATGATAATTGATCATGACCAGGCTGTCACCTTGGAGGGATCCCTCTGTACCCCAACACTACTGGGAATCCTCTTACCCTTCTCTTCTGCCCACAGGTCTGGGGTTCTGTAGATGAACTGTAGGGGTTTGAGATGACTGTGCTCTGTCCCCATTTTGGGAAGGGGGATGGAGGGCTCCTAATATCAGGATGGTATTAGGCATGGGCCATTGTCCCATTGATGTCACTGTAAGATGACTGTGTGGAAGGAGATTTGGGCCTGGAAGGGTTGGGGAAGTCACTGGAGGGATGAGGAAGAGCCCACAGCTGGGTTTGAGGCTGGGTTGTGGCTGGGATCCTGTGGGCATTTTCCCATTCTCCCTGCTGGAAGAAGCTCTAGGTTCTGGCAGCACAGGCTGCAGTCCTGACTGAGGCAGACTCTGCATCCTGGAAAGAGACCAGCAGCGTGTGGAGTCCCAGTCCCCCAGATCACACAGGGTCATGTGCTTGTGCTGTGCAGGGAGCAGATCCCTCCCTGGCTGTCCTGGAGCTGGGTCTGACACTGTTACCCTCTTCAGGGCTGATCCTGACCCAGCATCCTTGGGATGACATCCCAGCCTGGCTGYAGCACCCCATCATCTGATGAGCTATAGATACACCCCACACTGGGCTCCCTTGGGGACAGGGATGAGGATAAGACCCTAATATACTTCTGTTACTTGTAAGTTCTGATACAGTAACAGATTTTACTACAGGGGAACGTGGTAGCTGTGTTTACAGTGCTTTCCACAAAGCCTGGTTCTCAAAAACCACAGCTACTTCTCCTTTTCCTTGCGGCTTTGTGGATGGTTTTGAGCCCTCAATCCTCTTCTCTATAAGAAGGAAATCTGATTGTAAATTTCAGGTGGTTTGGGTTTTTCTCTCTACAGTCCTGAAGACTGAGTCCAGATAGCTCTTCAGTGACTGAATGGACCTTCAGGAAATAGCACATCAATCACTTTTGCAATGATATTGAATGCAATGCATATGACTGAGTKTGCTGTCTTTCAATATTTCTTCAGCATCTTCTAGTAGATGCTAGACATCCACCAAGATGACAGCAAATCTCAAAACAATGATACATTTCTAAGGAGGGAGGGGAAAATAAATRATCACATCAGCTGCAATAGGAAGCCTGTTTCACCATGTGTGAATTTTTGAAGCTTAGCTGTTTAATTTCATTGGTTTTGCTTCTCTCACATCCTCAAGAGGGTGTGTGAGGGTGTCTGTGTCTGACTCTGGGATTTCATCAGGGCATTACCCAGTGAGTGCTGGGCTGGCTGTGGCCATTCTCCTGGGTGCTTGCAYCTTTGTTGACTGCACAGGAACAAGAAAAGCCTGGTTCCCAAAGCACAGGGATCTACCAAGGAAACAAGGATAAYGTGACTTAGTGCTGCTACTTCTCTTGCTGAAAGCATTCAAGCAGACTTCCCCAATTTACCTCACAACAGCTGCACGTGACACCCCTGGATCCAATGTATGATGTTCCCAAATGGACCTTTGATACATCTAGTTTATAGAAACTCCTCAGTGTGGCTCGTCTGCTGGGATAGTACAGATAGATACACCAAGCATTGTCCTGAGGATGGTGGTTCCAGATCCARAAGGATCTGCCAGGGAACTCTGGGCCACCAAGTCCCACCTGGGTGGTGAAAAACACCCTGGATAACAGCACCCATTCCCAGAACAGTGACAGTGTTGGACCATAAAGCAATTGTGTCTGTCTGTCTAGGAAAACACAGAGAGAGAGACTGTGTAAACCACAGAAATGAAAGAGGAAAGGCTCAGGGAATCAGGACTCATGGAAGCTTGTGGCCATTCAACAGTGTGTGAGATGGAAAGGGGCTCTGAGGAAAGCTTGGTGGTGACATCTGCAGGGGCAGGAGACTGGGGGAGAGCACTTGGAGAATTCTCTCCCATATCCCAAGACCCTGCCTCATTTTGACAGTAACGGGAATAAAACGCCTCCATCCAACTCCAGGAAGACCCTCTTAGCCCCATACAGTGCACACTGTACCCATGTTGAGGGTTTCATGTCCTACAAGGCACTGACAAAGTGTAGCTCAGAACAGGGTAGCAGYAAAGGCTTGGAGAAGAAAGGAAATGGGAGCACTTCCCGGTTCAGGAGCTTGTCCGATCTGGAAACTCTGCTGGTGGGGTTCAACAGCAAGAATTTTGTAGCTGGATCAGTTCAAGGTAATAGGAAGAGAGATTTTTGGTAGTACTTGAAAGATGGGTAGATGTGGCACTTAGGGACATGTTTTAGTGGTGGGGTTGTGCTGGCTTAGTGGTCGGACTCGGTGATCTCAGAAGTCTTTTGCAGCCTAAATGATTCCATGATTTGAAGGTGAAAGTGATGCATGGTGAGAGCACCCTAGAGTGGCCTTGGGTACATTAATCAGGGGTGTGTTCCTCAACATCCTCTGCTGAATCTGGAAGGAGAGAGGAAAGAGACAGACATGAGAAGGTTTTGGAGAGGTTTGTGGGAGCAAGGCTATGAGAACTTGAGGTATCCAGGAAAAAGGCTGGACCAAGATACCTGCCAGACTGCATGTACYGCTGTCTGCAGAAGATGGGTGGGAACCAACACTGAGGCTGGTGGGATGCTCTCTTCCCAAAGAGGAAGCTTCTTGCACCACATGTGATTCCTCTGCGGGACTGTCTCAGTTCTGTGTGAGCGTCTCTCCTGTGAGGGGTTACAGTCACCTTCCTTGAGCAGCTCGTGCGGAATCCTGCCTGGAGACTTCATGCCAGCATGGCCCTGCCAGGGCTGGTGCTGGCATTTCTCCTGGTCCTTGCTCCTCTGCTGCTTGCACGGGGACAGAGGAACCACACTACTGTGAGTCCGTGGGTATATAAGGAAGCAGGTAAGAGCAGATTGTATCTTCACCTCAAAAAATTGGGATTGCTGCTCCTCTACCTGAGTATTTGCTGCATGGCCTTACACCAGTCAGCCCAAAGCTGAGACTGTGGAAGACCTGAGGCTGGTGTCTGCATCAGCCTGAGACACTCAGGCATCCTTCGGGTTGTGGYGGGGCAAAGTTCTGAGTGGGATGGAGGGCAGCAAGCCTGGGTGTGCTGGGAAAGCCTCCATAAGCGTGGGAGCTGCAGTGTCCCAGTGTCCCTCTAGGCAGTGGGTAGTGTCCCTGAGAGCAGGAGGTGGCTGGGTTTTGTTGTGCAGCAGACAGATAAATCTGAGCAGTTATGGCCTTCCTGGGCAGTCCAGACAGAGAAAGGTGATGATGATGGTTATCAAAGACTTGGAGAGCTCTATGATGATCCCCTCTGGATGGGATGCCTGCTGTCTCACACAGTCCCTGGGGCTGAGGAAGCTGTACTTCGGTGGGATTGTTCACATCAAGAGGCTTCTTCTGTTYTTTGTCCATGCCAGGAGAGCTAGGGGCATCTCCTGGGTCTCTGCTGGGCTATTTCTCCAAAGAATGTGGGCTTTCCTGTGGTGATTGTGTTCTGTGCCTTGGGGTYGCTGGTACCTGTTGAGGTCCCCATGGGGCACAGCTTGGCAAGGGGACCTGAGCTRTGAGTCATTGTCTCTGTAGGGAAATAGGAGCAGAAGTGGCAAGCCAAATCATCGGATCGGTTGTGAGTCATGCTGCTCATCCCTGGTGGCTGAARGGATGCTGTCCTTCCAGCAGTGGACAGCTCTTGGCTAACTARGGCAGGATGGAGCCTCTTCTGCTCTCACAGTCTGTACTCATAGGTGGGACTGACCCAAAAGGATCCCAGATGTCACCCTTGGGCAGGGTATGTGTTCCTTCAGGGATTTAATGCCAGGCAGAGTGAAGGTGTGTGAGGGGGATGTCTAACGAGGCTGGGATCAAGTCAAGGGTTTAATGTCTTCCAGGTAGTTTGTCACAGTGAAGTGTTTGCTCTACGGGCACTGGGAGACACCCAGCTGAGCAGGAAGAACCATGTRGTCTAAAAGGATGGCACTGGTGACCACCATGCTTTGTGGTGGAGAGCTGGGCACAGGATGGAGATGATGGCATGGAAACCTGCTACCAGACAAGGGAAGTKGTGGGTGCTGGCTAACAGGAAGTGGGCAGCTGTAGCTAAAGAGAGGTGTTTCATCTTCATTTAGGGAAGGCTGAGTCCGTGCCCAGTGCCTCCTCACGGACTTGTTTTGCACRGAGTGAGCCAATCGAGGTGACATTTTCTGCCAGGGCAGGACAAAGCAGACTCATTTTGGGTGAAGTGCAGAGGCTGGGCTGTGCACATTGGTCAGGGTGTGAGCTTTGTGGTCAGAGGTGCAGACTCTTAGTTGAAAGCTTCTTTCACCCAGCTGACAAAAACGCTGATTAACACACGGAGTCAAATTGTTTGATTTATTTACCGTTCTGCACAGAAAGGTGGGCTAGATGGCAAATCCACACAGCCAGCACACGCTGGCACATAGAAGCAGGTACACTTACACAGCCATAATTTTTGGCTATTAGTATATCTTACTGAAGTTSCTGCTTGCCTGCGTTGCTATGACTCATCTTTTCCCCACTTCACGGTAAAAGCAGAGTGTTCCAAGAAATCATGGAACGCACTAGGAGAGCAGTGATCTTTTTGAGAGAAGGAGGCAATGAACTGAGGATGTGGGAATTTTACTACTATTGAGAGCAAGTATTCATTACTAGGGTGATGAATAACGTAACAAAACTCGTCAAAACTGAGTGTTTGTTAGCTCCCAGTTCAGCATCCTGGATGAGAAGGGCGTTACCTTTTTTGTTTTTCCCTTTTCAAGGACTTCGACGATTCATTTTCTTTCTGCCTCATTCCTGTAGTTATTGCTTCCACTTCTTTTTGTTCTTTCTTTTGTTGTCTGGAACTTTGTTCCTGTTATTCAGCGTTACTGCTGGCTGTCACTTCTTGGGACCAAGCTGTGGAGTCTGCAATGGCAGCAGAGACTCTCTGAGTCTGATGMACTCCCACAGCTTCTGTATCCAGGGGAGAGAGCAGGACCCACTAAGCTGCTGGATCGCTGTGGCTGGGGTCCCTCTGCAGCAGTGGGTGGGCAGGAGGGCCTGTGGATAACCCTGCTGCTCTTCCCCTGAGGGTGTGAGAAGGGAAAAAGCACCTGGGAGCTGGGGCTCATCCTGGGAGGTGTCATCTCTGCCACTCCTCTGAAGAGAGGGGAACTGGCACCCCKCTGGATGGACCCGATGCTGCCAGAGGTCAGTGACCCTCAGGCTCTTCCTCCTGCCCTTTGCACACAGGAAAATGTGAAATTCCTCACTGGGACCCCGAACTGCAGTTCACCCCCAAGAAGAGCATCTATGCCTTGAATGAGCTGGTGCAGCTGAGCTGTGCTGGCAACTCTGTGCCATCTGTCCSCAAAATCAGATGCATCTCCAGAGGGGCCCAGGCCGAGTGGAATGAGACTGCCACCTGCATGGGTAAGCACATCCCTSCATCACTGTGACCCAGGGTCCTGAGCTGGTGACAGACCCTCTGTGACCTGGTCATGCAATGACAGTCCAGAAATGGGACAYCCAGATGCCTTGGCTTTCCTCCATGTCCTGGCAGTGACAATGCTGTAATTATCTCACCACCTTGCTGTAGGCACCTGCTGTGGTCTGTGTTCCTGGGGAGAGGAATCCTTCCCAGCCAGCATCTCCTGCCTCAGCATGGAGTAGAAAGAGCTGCAGCAGTTCTGCTTGTTTGCCTGGAAAGCTTCTCTAGACTTTGGGTTATCTGYGGTGTGGGAAGTTGTTATTGCTGAGTGACTCCCCTGTACACGGAGCACTCCATGGAGGGTGGAATCCAAGGGAGGCTTGTAAATCCTGGAGATGGGGTAGTGAGAAACCCTGTGACCTTGGATAGAGCCTGGGCACATGGTGGAGTAGAGGGACTCTCCTCTGTGTCAGGGTGAATGGTCAGAGTCATGGAACTCTCCTCTCATCACCTCCCAAAAGTTCTCCTCCCCTWATTTTACCTCTTACAGAACTATGCCCAAGGTCTTCTTGGTGGGACCCCAGACTCCAGCTGGCACCAGCCCATGACACTTACAAAGAGGATGAAGTAGTGACTCTGAGCTGCAACCGTGATTTCCAGCCATCTTTCACCCACATCAAATGTGCCAGCATGGTTCAGCCATCAAATTATTCTGGAGTTCCAAAGAGATATGTGTGGCTCGGGAGAAAGGACAGTGATGTGTGGATTCAAGTTGAGGGGAACATAGTGTGCATTGGTAAGCAGGGTGTCAGGAGTGCTTCCTATAGAGCTCTGTGGTCAAATCCTGCCCTGTTCTTCCATCTCTGAGCTTCCATCACTGCTTTGGCCAGGGATGCACTCCTGATGACACATCAGGRCCACTCGGATCTCAGTGCTTTTGGTATCTGAGGCCATTCTCTTGCTAAATTCCAKCACATCTTTGTCCACCACCCGCCTGGACAGGCACCAGCCCTGTCTGACACCAACAAGAACAACCCCATCCCAACCGGCCTTGCCAAGGTGTCCCATCGTAGCAGATGGGTGTGTCACCCTCTCCTTTCAGGGGCTAGAGGGACAGCTGGGAATTGCTGAGACCCCACCACATAACCTGCTCCCCCTTGAAACACCCCAGCCCAACTAACAACCACTTTCACCTCTGCCAGAAACATGCCAAAAACCCCACTGGGGCCAAAGATTCCAGATGGCACCAGACAAGGAGAGTTACAAGAAGAATGAAGAAGTGATGCTGAGCTGCCCTGGGGGTTTCCAGCCATCCATCACCCATGCCAAATGTACAGGAAAAGTTCTGTCTATTATCAATGGAAAACCTGTGCACAAAGAAGTTTGGAATGGAAGGGGCAGCAGAGGCGGTTGGATGAACATTCAGCCCATGTCCAGGGTGCAATGCCTTGGTAAGGAGGCCTCAGGAGCATTCCTGGCTGCCCTGCTCTCTCATTCCTGAGCAGGGAAGGCAGGCTGTGGGTGCACAAGTTTCGGGTTCTGTGCTGCCCGGGGACATGGCAGGTGCTGCTGAAGGCAATATTGGGGCAGCTCCTGAAATCTGCTGTGTGCCTCTCCTGGGGGTCTGGGGGTGCCCTGACCACCACTGSCAATTCCACCATGCCCCTAAGTGCCACATCTTTTAATACCCCCGGGGATGGTGAGTCCATCACTTCCCTGGGCAGCTTGTTCCAGTGCTTGGGAACCCTTTCAGCAAAGAATTTGTATTCTAATATCCAATCTAAACCACCCTAACGCAACCTGAGGCTGTTTCCTCTTCTGTCACTGGTTACCTGGGAGAAGAGACCTCCAGCAATCAGATCCCCCAGCCAGAAGCCTCCTATTCTCTGCTTTAGCTGTTCCTTATGAGACTTGTGCCTCAGATCCTTCACCCTCAGCTCTTGCAGGAAGGGTAAAGGCCTGTCCCCCTTCTCATATGCTGGTCTCTCTCCCTCACTGCTGCATGCTGCCACTGCAGAGCCAGCTTTGGGGCTCAGCCTTTATGCCTTCTCAGGAGGAGTCAGGGCCTTGCCATCCTGCCTAAGGGACAAACAGGGCAACAGATTCTTGGGGCAGCCTTTGTGCACAGTACAAGCCCCTYGTGGGCTCCCCTTAGTCCCTGACTCCAGTTTCTCCTGACCTTTCCCAGGAGAACTAGKGAAGAAGTTTGGAGTCCTTTTTGTCCTCATCCTCTTGCCAAGGAAGGTCCGCTCTATGCAGTGTCCTGGAGCTCCATCTCTGGCTCTGATGGGCCAAGGAAGGGCCTGGTTYCATCCCCTGGCATGCCCTGAGGAGCCATGCTCTGTCCAGCTAACGCCTTCCCATCTTTTTGGTGCAGAGAAATGCCAGAAGCCCCAGGGGGACCGCAGGGTTACATTTGACCCAGAACAGGAAATCTTCAACCAAAATGAAGTGGTGAAGGTGAGGTGCCCTGAGGGGCACTGGCCCCCACTCATGGAGATGAAATGTGTGATGCTGATGCCAAGGCAAGGTTCCCTGATTCCTCGTAGTGGCTGGATGGTGAGGAGAGGCACAGACACCTGGCAGCATATGGAGAAGAATTTGACTTGTGTGGGTAAGTGAGCAAGGCAGACACTCTCCCAGTGCTCTCAGTCTGTGCTCCCCAGGCAGGGAGGGCAGTGCAGCATGTGTGCCTCAGGATCAGTGCCCTGTGCTCGGGCAGAGAAATCCAGAGAAAATTCTGGATGCATCCCTGGTTTGTGTCTGTGCAATCCTGTTTGTTCCTGCAAAATTTTGCTGGCAATTCTGGCAGAGAATTCTGAGAGAAGGCAGAATGTCCTTGTCCACTCCATGCTGGGGACAGGCTAGTGAGGGAACAGTGAGGGTGATGGAGTTTGGTGTCATGGCTTGGAGGAGAAAGGAAGAAGTAATCCTCTTGGGACATTCCCTTCRCAGATACCCTCCAGGTTGTCCCTGAGACCTTGAAGATTTCCAGTACCAGCATCCAACTAAACTGGACCTGCATGCTCCCTAACACCTGCCAGAGCATTCGGGCCAGGTGCCGGCTGGACCATGATTACTCCTCAGACTGTGAGGCTGAGGAGTTCAAGGGAGATCAGATGCTACAAGGCCAGGAGGGAACCTTTATCTGCTCYCCTCTTCAGCCCTTCACTCTCTACACTGTCACCATCACCCTGAATAGCTCAATCCTGTACACGCGGCCCCTCAAGACAAAGGAAATGGGTATGATTACATAAAATGTCAAAGACACCCTTCATCCTGAAGCTCAGTCAGGTCCTCTGTTCCCTGTTGTGATGCTCCTGGGATCAGAGCTGCTTGGAGCTTGTGGGGATCTGGGGAAGGGACAGTGCAGGGCCCTGAATAGKGCATATCCCCTTCTCACTTTCCTCCTCCTCACCACATTGCTGCTGCTGCAGAGGCAGAAGCAGCCTTCGTGGGGGACGAATACTTGCTATCCATGTGTGATCCTGTTCTCCTGTGCTKCCAGTGCCAGACAAACCAGAGGAGCTGGAGCTGGATCCCAGCACGGGTGCCCTCAGGTGGAAGGCACTGTCCCACTGCAAAGGGAAGATCACTGGATACCAGGTACCTGGACTGCCCATGGTCCCCCTCTCTTTGCCAGGCATCTCCCTGCCTGGAGTCTGTGCAGCCAGCGTGCGAGCCCTCCTTGGTCAGGGCCCACAAGCTGCACTCTGCTGATGTTCCTGGTGGGGCCAGGTCCCTTAGTGTGCCCAGCCAGCAATAGCAGCCCCTCTTCACAGAGCTGCCCAGCGCAGGAGCRGGATGTTGGTGCGACTGCCTAGCAGCTCCCTGTCCTTCCTCCAGGTGAACATCACCGCCATGCGAGCAGAGGATGGCAGCTTCCTCGATTTCCATCACAAGTTCGTGAACTCGTCTGTCACCGAGTACGTGCCACCCCGTCAGACAGCTGGCAGCAAATACCTGGTGACAGTGCAGGGCCTGACAGCAGCTGGGGCTGGCGCTGCATCACAGCTGGAATTCCAAACCTACGTCGTGGGTAATGGTGGTTCTGCCCTGGGTCTGGCTGGGGTGGCCTGGCAGGGGGTGAGTGCTGAGGCTGGAGCAGCTCCCAGACCTGTGAGTGCACCCAGCTCAGGCAGGGCAGGGACTGTGGGCACCTGGCTCAGCAGGGGTGTCAGGCTGGGTGAGTCCTGCCTCAAGGGCTTGCACTGCCACGGCCCCAGAGGAGCTGCACCCCTCCAGCCACTGTGTGTGCCTTTGACATCAGAGCTGCCCCTCTGCTCTTCCACTGCAGGAGGTGACACCTATCCCCGCATCCCATGGGTGCACGGGTGGCTCAGCTCAGAGAGCGCTCGGGCTGCTGAGCCAGGCTGTGTCCTCCAGCTGTGCGGGATGGCTGAGCAGGCTGCCAGACCGTCCAGTGGGGGACACAGGACAAGTCCCTGTGTTCCAGAGCCTCTCTGTGCCCTGCCCAGGCAGATTTGCAGGCAGGGGGTGACTGTCTGGCTGCAGGCAGGGCAGCAGGGCCTGGACACCGTGAAGACACCCAGCACCAAGGCCGGCGCGCATGGCCCTGGCTGCGGCAGCCGCTCCTCTCTGTGTCAGTTTCAGGGCAGCCCCCGAGTTCTTGGCCTGGCTCAGCAGTCACGGTCATCGTGGTGGTGGTGCTGTTGATCCCCTTGGCCGCAGGGGTGCTCTGGTTCGTGCTGTGCAGGTGAGTGGCAGGAGCTTTGGGGTGTCAGCCGTGCCTCAGGCTGTGCTGCGCTGTGGGTGGGTGTGGATGGAGAGGGCTCTCCGGCTGCTCCCACCCTTCCCTGGGTGCACAGGATGCAGCTGGCTGTTCCTACCACAAGCTGGCTGTCAGACTCCTGGCTGGGGCTCCAAGTGTCTTCCTCAGGGCTGGGACAAGAGGCTCTATGTGCTAAGAGAGCCTCTGGCCTTGCTGCTGTTGCAGCCACCGCTGCTGTCCCSTGGGGTGKGGGTGGCAGTGCCTGCCAGGACACAGGGAGGGTGTGCAGAGCCCTCCACGCTGCTGCTGCTGRGGTCAGTGGGGTCTGKCCCACGTCAGCTTCTCCCTGACCCAGGACTGCCCTTTGCTTTTCCAGAAGAAAGGAGGCCTTACCCAGCAAAGTTGAGGAGGACCATTACACAGGTAGGGTCCCCAGCACAGAGATGGGCTGGGAGGGGAGCAGGTGTATTGGCATCCTGWGGTGGCTGCAGGCAGCCCACCTGGCCTTGGCTGATCTGTGTGTCCCCCATCTATTCCCAGCTGAGACCCCACTCAGTGGCCTCTTCCAGCAGCTCCTGGCTGGGGTCTCCCTATGGTGCCAGTGAGGGTTGGGAGCTGCCCCTCCTTCTGAACCCCTCTGGGGTAGGCAGCACCTCTCCCCAACCCTGCTGCCCTGATGGTGCTCATGCCAGGGTGATCTGCAGCCCACGGTGATGCTGCCTGCCTGAAACTGCTCCGCTCCTTCTCCCACAGCCCCCAGGTCCCTCAGGCTATTTCTATCCTCTTGTCTCCTCAGAGCTCCAGCCCTATGAGAATGTAGATGGGGGTAATTACTGCATGATCAAGACTTTTCTGGCAGAGAAAGATCCAGGTAGGAATGGATTATCAAGTCTGTCACCCCCAAATGGTACAGAGCAGGGACTGGCACCTGTGATGGAGCTCCCTGTGCTGCCTAGTACATGAAGCAGCCTCTGCCCTGGGTCTCCTTGATTTYGGCAGGTGAATGTGGCCAAGATGAAGAGCCATTTCCCAAGCCCCCACCTGTTCTGGAATCCTTAGGAGACAGAGGGAGCAGTGAGGGAGAAGCTGGAATGGACTTCTGAGGTTCAGTGGTGATGGCACTTCTGTTCTCAAGGCTTGGTCCTCCACCACCATAAGCAGGACCATGAATCTTGTCATGGATTATTGCTATAAAATTTTCTGCTTCATCAAGCCCCAGAATCTCTGTCACAGCACAGGAGCAGCTCAAGGAATGGGATGACCTGCGTGTGCCAGCAAGGATGTGTCCTGCTAATTCTCCAAGTGCTCTGGCAAAGCCATTTGGTGCCTGCAACTGTGCCCTGAGACTGAAGGAACTCAMAACTGTTGTTCCCACCCTGTGTATCCCTGTATCCATCTAGACCCTGTCCTCTGCTTGAGTTYGGCCCAGCTGTGTTGCCTTGGCTGCTGTGCTGCTGCAGTGTCTGAACAACCAATAAAYTGTTCTGGTTTGCAGGGGCTGCCTTGCCCACAACAGCTCCCACCTTGTCATGGTTCCTCCTTGTTTTGTGTGTGAAAGAACATGAATCCTCATGGAGCGGCTTAGAGTAGGCTTTTCCAGCCCTTGACAGCTCCCAGAAACCATGTCTGAGGTGCTGCGTGCTCCCAGKGCAACACTTTGGGTGGCTGCTTTCCCTCCTGCCTATCCTAGAGGTAGCACCATCTCCACCATACATAGCTGGAGCTCTCCCTCTGTGTGAGTGCTGGTGCTCATCTCCCATTTTGAGAGGTGAAGTAGTCACTGCCCCTCTTGGGACATTTGCATCCTGCAGCCTTTGGGATCTGCTCACTCTTGGCTGCTGCTGCCCCAGTGTCCCCTCCAACAGCCACTGTCCCCCACCCTGGGATGCAGTGTTCATTGCAGCCTGGATGCTGAGGGACAGTGAGAAGGTTCTCCTTGGTGAGGGGCACGCTGCTGGAAAATGGGGCAATCAGCCTCTCTTTTCTCCAGCTGTGGGTGTTGCTTGTGACGTTTCCATCTCCTTCTGCTGCCCTCAGGCACACAGGCTCTCCTGAGCTCCCTGGACTCAGGTATGACAAGCTGGTTCTGGTTGTGCTTTTTACAGCTCTCAACTCAGAGCTGCCATGGGTTTTTTGCTTCAGTTATCTCTCTCCTGTSAAACCTACCAATACTCAGTGCAGCCTCGAGGCTGAGGGGCAGCCTGAAGGCTCTCCTTGTTGAGGTGTGCACTGCTAGAAGTTAGAGCAATTGACCTCTCTCTTTTTCAGCTTTTTTTTAAGCCTGGCATGACATGCATGAGTTGGTAATGACATGTTTTGACAGTCCTTCATATGACCTGTCTGCCCGTCACCACAGTACCCGCAACTGGCCCCTGGGACCAAAATACCTCCTTCGTGTGGACTGCTGCTGGGGTGACATGTGCCTGATGGAGCTGCTCTTTATGTGTATTGGGCAGAGAGGAGAAGGGGGAGCTCAACCCTGTGTGGCTGCTKCTGTTTGAGAAATGGGAATGAGCAGGCTTGGGATAGGGGACAACAGTGGTCACCTCCTCGGTTACCCTGCTTCCCACTCCTTATCCCCACATCCAGTCATACCCTGGACTGTCAGCCTCATCACTCCCCCTCCTCCCCTCCTGTGAGTCAGGAAAGGCTCGTGGTTTGGAAGGGGCTATCTGCTGCCTCGCAGCTCCTGCCTAGTCCTCTCATTGTCCTTGTGAGGTGCTGTTCCCTGTGGGGTGCTGAGTTAACYGCATCTTGTTGAGGGGAGTTGTGAGCAGGACACCATTTTTCCTGGGCAGGAGGGTGTGAATGTGTGTGAATGTGCCACATTCAAAGCTGAGTGACAAATATGGTCTCTGTGCTTCTGCAGCCCCTCATGTCTGATCACCCATCCAAAGCTTGTGGGAGGTTCTGGAGAAAGAAAAAAGTGGTGGCTGCTGAACAGCAAGGGGAATAGTTTAGTTCTGCGATGGTTTGCTCAAGCCCACAGCTGGCACTGTAGGGCAGCTTGGCACACTTGGGGTCAGAGGAAAGTGCTGCCAGGCTGAGAGGGAGCAGAAGGAGGAGGCAACTGAGGATAGAGAAGCAGAGAAGGATGAGAGAGGTATGGGCTGAGTGTTCCTTTCAGAAGGGCCACAGACTGTTTCAGGCATTGAAGTACTCCTCGCATTTCATGTACATATTCCTACCCATGCTTCTGACCAACCCTTTATGTGTTTTCTCAAAGGTCCTCCATCTCCTGTGATCATTGAGGGGAAGTGACTCATCACCACTCTAAAACCCACGCAGTGTCAGAAGCACATGGATATTACCTCAGAAACAGGAGTAATAGTTCTTGAATGCCCTGGTAACTAGGAGGGTTTTGGGAGCAAAGTCTGGGGTCTTGGTAGTRAGTTTCTTTCTGTGGAGTCCCAGAGCCTGGATGCTCCTGGGGCAAAAAGACATCGAAAGGCAGAAGTGCTGACAGTGATGGGAGGTTCCCTGCCCAAAGAGGAAGCCTCCTGCATCTCATGAGGAGATGTGTCTATTTCCTTCCGGTTTCTGCAAGTCTTGCAGTCGGATACGGATGCCTGCACTCAGAGGCAGYGAGCGGGGCTGAGATTTCAGTTCTATCTGGGGACTTCACGCTAGGATGGCCCTGCAGTCGCTGGCTCTGAGGTTTCTCCTGGCTCTTGCATCTCTGCTGTCAGCACAGGGCCAGGAAGACCTTGGTTTCAACACCCAAGTAGTGCCCCAAGGAACAGGTAAGAAGCGGTTCTTCCCCTTGGAAGATTTCGCTGCATTTCCTCCTGTAAGGTGGGTATTCATGTTCCCTGCCTGCAGCCCTGGGCTGGAGCCCAGATGGACCCCTGAGGGCTGTGTCAGTTGGGACACCCGCTGTCTTCTGCCCCAGGGGCAGGAGCTACAGTGCACTATCCCCTGGGGATCTGTGGGAGACACAGGAATTGGGCTGGATTTTCCATGATGGGTCATGCCCTCCAGAAAACCAGTTTGCCAATCATTCCCTGGAGACAGTGGACATGAATTGGGGTGTGAATTCACTCACTGTGAATCAGGAGAAGGGTCTTCAGGGAGAAGATGCATCGTTTCTGTACACATCGTATTCCCAGGTGTGCCTGAGGGGCCCTGTGCTTGCTGAGAGCAGAGCAAGAGGGAACTTGCTGCTGCTTTGCCAGACAGATGGGCCAGGGCATGATTGGGCTGGGTGCCTGTGCACGGGGTCATGGCCATATGGCAGGGGACAAAACTGCTGGTTGTGGTGCTCAGCTGGGTATCTCTGGCCTTCTGCCATCAGGGCTGCTTGAGAACAAAGCCTAAGCACAAGTGGCTTGTCACCAGTATTTCCTTAGTATTCAGAAGTTGGTCTAAACCCAGTGTGCCCCTTTGGGAGAAGGCTGTGTTTTAAGACCTTTCAGGCCTCACAGGGATTCTTGCAGAGGCTTGAACAGTCAGGAGCTCCATTCCAGGAGCCAGCATCCTTGTCTGTAGGAATTCGTTGCCACAAAGCCTCTCCTTGCTAGCACCAGCTGTGCCTGTGGAAGGTGGTGGCTTTGGTGAGGAGGTGATGGGAAGAAGGAAGGGTTGGTTGGTCAAGAGAAAGGGACAGGGGCACTGGTAAAGCAGGAGATAGAAATGGAGAAGGCACTGATCAGCCCCATGTCCCACTGCCCAGGAGGGGCAGGAGGAGAGCAGCCAAGGGACTGAGTGAGTCAGAACAGGGACCTCACAAGCRTCACAGGGGCATGGCTGATCCCAGTGGGAGGGTGAGCTGTGGCTGMAGGGACATGCATGCCAGCAGGAGTGGGGGTGTGATGGCAAGGGCCACCTGAGCTGGGCTGGGTGACCTGCCTGAATGAGAGGGTGGAGGGAGTGTCCTTGTGCAGGGGTGACTGTCCTGGGAATCTCCCTGCTGTGGGATATGGAGGAGGGAATATGGTGCCCACAGACACAAGGGTGAGTGGGGCAGGCTCATGGATGAGTGTTCCTTCACAATTTCCATGCACAAGGAAAGCCTCCTCAGAACAAGCCTTGCCTGCTGGTCACATCCCAGCAGATGGATGTGTCACMTTCCCTCCCACATCATTGGCTGGAGGGACTGCTGGGGATTTGTTGCTCACCACTCACCCATATCTCATCTCATYGCCTCCCAGCCTGAGTAAAACCCAATTTCACCTCTGACAGAAATGTGCCAAAGGCCCCAGTGGGATTCCAGACTCCAGCTGGCACCAGACAAGGAGTATTACAAGAAGAACGAAGAAGTGATGCTGAGCTGCCCTGAGGGTTTCCAGCCACCCTTCACCCATGTCAAATGTGGGAGTGAAGTCCAGTCCATCAGTCATGGGAAACCTATATACAGAGATGTCTGGAGTAGAAAAGACTCCAGAGGTTCCTGGGTCCGCATTCGGTCCAGCATGGTATGCAGAGGTAAGGGAGGGATGAGGAGTCCTCTTTGCTGCCCTGCTCTGCCCTTCTTGAACAGGGAATGCAGGGTGTAGGGGCACAGGAGGTTTCTGGCTYTGTGCTGCCTGGGGRCATGGCAGGTGCTGCTGAAGGCAGTGTCAAGTCCAGCCTGCAGATCACCACCAGGGGTGTCACAATAAGGGTGTCCCTGAGGGCTTCTGGCATGACCCTGTGCACAAAAGAGAAAAGCACGGGAGAGGGATGTGCTGTGGAGTTTGTGGCCAGGACTCGGCATCAGTGTTCGAGCAGGATCATAGAGCTTTGCTGCCTGTGTCCTCTGAGACCATACAGCTGTGAGTACCACAGCTTGCTCCCTGTGGGCTGGGGTGCTCCACGCTTTGTGGCATGGTGGGTGCAGGCTTGGCATCATCTTCTCACAAGTCAGGGCATTCTCTAAAATACCTTTTGTATTGTAGAGATTCTGGGACAGACAGTTTTRAATCAATTGGCAAAATTGCTTGAGCAGTAGTAGTCCACTCACTCACCCACATTCACTCCTGTCCAACTGCTCCTTCCTCACTTTGAGAGAGCTGGAGTGACCAGCTTCAGTCTCTCACTTTCCCTCCCATCAGGCTGGGAGGTGAGCAGGGCTGTCTCACTGCAGCAGCCCTGCATGGCTGGGAGGAGAAGGCAATAGAGTGACCCTCTGACAATCTTCCCTTCACAGATGTCCTCCAGGTCAACCATGAGACCCTGGAGGTTTCCAGCACCAGCATCAAACTGAACTGGACCTGCAGRTTCCCTGAYGCCTGCCAGGGCATAWGGGCCATGTGCCGGCTGTCAGTGCCTTCCTCTCCTTCCTGTGAGGCTGAGGAGGTGAATGGAGAGCAGATGTTACATGGCCARGAGGGAACATTCACCTGCTCCYCTTTGCAGCCCTTCACTGAGTACAGYGTCACCATGGAATTTTCTCCCAACACAACCCTTTTCTCATGGGTGYTCAGGACAGGGGAAGCAGGTATGTGCACAGAAATATCGGAGACAAGGAACAGTCCAGGGCTGTGTCACAGATGGATAAATGTTCCCCTCACCTGTCAGCTCAGCCTGGTCATKTGTTCCCTGCAGTGATGTGCTTGGGATCAGGGCTGCCTGGATCCTCAGGGGCTCTGGGGAAGGGKCTGTGCTGGGCTCYGAGCAGGGCACGCTCCCTTCTCATTGTCCCACTCCACACCCCCTGTTGTGCTTCCCACTGCTGCAGCACATGCAGCCTTTGCAGGGGACAAACCTTTCTTAGGGAGTCCCTTTGCAGTCTGTCCCATGGCCAGGAGCTGCTGCACCCTCCTCTGGCCTCAGCCCCTCTCATGGCCCTGTGTGTGACCCCATCCTCCTGTGCTTCCAGTGCCGGACAAAGTGGAGGASCTGTGGCTGGATCCKGASAGCGGCTCTCTCAGGTGGAAGGCGCTGTCCTCCTGCAAAGGGAAGATCAYTGRATAYSAGGTACCAAGGGAGCAGGGCAGATCCTCACCTCCTGGCCTGSAGCTCTKTGCAGGATGACTGGGAAGTGTGGGAAAGGGATGAGTCACAATTCCCTGCCAGTGAATATCTGGCTTTGAGAGCACAAACTTTGTGTTTCCTTCTGAACATTCCTCATGCTATGGAGATTCCCAGAGAGGTGATGAATGCTCTCTGCCCTCTGGGCTTCCATCCTGGGTCTGCTCTGCTTTGGATTTGGCAGACTTTTACAGGCTGGTGTGCAACACAGGGTGATGTGTCTTCTAAGGTGGCATCCCAGGGTTTCCTGTGCCTCTTCCGTACTTGTTTCTGGTTTCTGCCACAGAAAAAAACTGTGGTTTGAGTCCTTTTAAAGTCCCTCCCAAAAGCCTCTCCTCAACCATTCTGTTGAGTTTTCCCCAATGCGTGACTAGAAGCATCTCCTCTGCCTCTGGATTTGGGACACATTCCACAGCTCAACCCTGCTCTCTAGCAGTGGGAGGGGCAGGGGTGTTCTGGTGAGATTCTTCTCAGAGTGCTCTAGGTCTTCTCTGAGGACAGAGGTCTCCATGGTGTGACAGGGACCTTGTAGGTTTTTTCTTAGCTCTTTCCTGGAGAAACTGTCAAACAAGCTCTTGACAACACTGTTTGTGAACTTGCTCAACTGGTTACCTGACACCTGTATTTGTGAAAAGAATAAATTTCTCCCACTTTAAGTTGTCTTCTCTTTTGCATAAGCCCAGAATGTATTTCTGTAAAGGCAGCAAATGAGAATGGCCAGGAATCTCATGAAAAATTCAGATGATGCATGGGCAGATGGGGACCCATCCTCTGTATTTCTTATGGAAACTTTAGTACTTCTCCTTTTTTTCTTAGAGAAAGCCTTCAGAGCCCAACCTTACACAAGAGGAAAGAGAAACTCATATTCCTCTTGTGGAGAGTGTCACCACATTGCCTCTGGTGTTGCAATACCATAGGGGTGACCTGTCCTGGGGTTCAGTAAATGTACCTACAGCCCTTCAAACGAACAGCCTCCTGCTTCTCTTCACAAAGGCTCAGCGCTTTGCTATCAGAGGCAGCTGCTCACACTGCAGCTGGTGGTAGTTGTCCCAAACATCCCAAATGCTGGCTCCAAATTCCTCTCCTCGCAGGCACACGAAGGGCGGCCCGGGGGGATCTTGCCAGCGGCGGGCACTTTCCCACGGGCAGGTGGGAGCTGCTGCATTCCAGCTGTGTCTCCTGTCCGCAGCTGAGCATCACTGTCAGGAACGCGKGGGACAGCAGCGCGCTGGAGACGGAGCTGCGGCGCCTGGATGGCTCYGTCACCGAGTACCGRCTGCCGGAGCGCAGCCCTGCCAGCAGCTACGCGGTGACGATCCGGGGTCTGACGCTTGCTGGAGCCGGCCCTGCGCTGATGAAGGAGTTTCAGGCCAGCAGCTCCGGTGAGGTTTGCCGTGTCCCTGTCCCGGGAGCTCGGGCTCACAGGAGCTGCGCTCTGCCGCCGGCGTTGCCCGAGGCTGTCCCTGCTCCTCGCACAGCCCTGCCCATGCTCTTTCCCCGGGTGTTCCCCTYCAGACAMCCCGCACCCGCTGGACATCAGCTGCCGCAGCGCCCGCGACATCGCCCCATCCCAAGGGACGGCCGTGCTTGCCCTGAGCCCCATCGCCCCTCCGCCCGAGGCGGTCCTGTGAGTGCAGCCCCCGCAGCTCTGCAGCCCCGGCACGGCTCTTCCCACCCCAGAGCTGGCCTGCAGACACCTCTTTCCAGTGTCCCCACTGTCCCCCATCCCACTGACTGTCGGCCCTGCAGGGGACACCATCTGATTGTGGCCGCGACGCAAAACAGCTCCGTGATCAAGAGCATCTGCGCGGGGCAGCTACCGTTCCTCAATAACAGCATCTACGTGGCCGCTCATCTCAACCTCACCGCCCCCAGGGATTTCGTGCTGGGCGATGGGAGCCACGGGTTCCAGTACCACAACCCCACCCTGCACCCGGGCTGGGACTACTCGGCCGTGCTGCTCCTCGAACGCCCCTTGCCGCAGGTACCATCGCGGGGCTCCTGCTCTCTGCGGGTTCTGCCGGCCGGGCTGGGCCCCTCGGTGTGTCTGGGCCYTGGCAGGATGGTGTCCCTGGGGTCCCTGGCCACAGCTGGGTCACTCGRTGGCYCTGGGTGGGGACCTCTGCTGCCAGGTAAGGTAGTGCTGCRGGAGTGGGCTGAGCTCTCCCTTGTGTCTCCTCCAGCAGGTACAGAAGCTCACCTGTGTCTGCTACAGCTTCTCCCTTGGTAAGTATCTCCTTGCTCATGGTGCCCAAGTGTCTCTCCTGCATGTTTCCTTTTCCCACCCTGGCAGTTTCCCTGGAACTGAACAGGGTTTGAGCTTTTTAGTTTCACATGGAACAGAAGGAACTTTTGCTCCCCACACATGGGGTGGGTCCTCCCTCCCAGAAGAATCCTTAAGGCAGGACACAAGCCTTGGCACTTGCACATACGCTTTGCCATCCGTGTGGGCATTGCCAGCAGGAAGCCAGGCTGTGGCACCCATCTCTGGTTCTGTGTTAGCTTCAGGGCAGACTGCTGGCCAGTGGCATGGGATTGTGATTGGACTGGTTGTGCTGTTGGCAGTCCTCCTCATGGCTGCAGTCATCCTGTGGCTGGTGCTCTCCAGGTGAGTACGAAGGGAACAGGTTCAGCAGGGACATAAACAATCCCAGTCTCTTACACAGGATTCCCTTTTGCCTTTCCAGGAAAAAGAAGTATTTGCCCAACAGAAACTAATGAGGATAACTAAAAAGGTAGGAAAATGCAATTCCACAGACAACCATCACAGAGGGCACTAAGGGCTGTTGGACAGCTAGGATGAGAGCAGCAATCTCCCAGGAGATTCCAGCCTTCAGGAGAAGCAGCAGCTCATACCCTGCACTGATACATCTCCCAATTTGCCTTAGCCAGGGATGGTCAGGATGACTCTGCCCACTCAGCCCCATGGGGCAGCAGTGTGGCCCCAGGCTGTGCTCTCAGCCTGGACCAGGGGCAGGGGTGAGCAAGATGGGCAATCCAAAGGGTGGCTCATTGCTCAGCCCTTTGAGGGACCCATACCTGTGCCATCCCTCTCAGGGGATAGATGTGCACGGAGGGGTCTCAGAAGAGTCAGRCTGAGGAGCTGCTGCTCTCTCCTTGGCACTGACAGGCACCTCTGGCACCCTGTTTGCGCACAGCTGGGATGAAATGGTTGGGCTGTGGCAGGCACTGTCCAGTGTTCCAGTGGTCTCTGACACTGGGTGCTCTTTTTCTCTACAGGAAAATGTGGCTGGGCTGGAGATCAGTCACTTCAGCCCCAGCCAGGACCATGGAGACATCCAGAGCAATGAGGAAGTAGAGAAAATGGGAAGGATGATCCCAGCTCAGTCCTGATGGCTGCCATGTCCCCTGCGTTTCCTGTGATTGTGACCAGCATGGGGGCCCCATGCAATTCATCCATTTCAACAGGGCAAGAGGAAAACAGGAAGCCAAGGAGGGTTGTGAGCTTCTGCATTCCTCAACTCCTTCACCTCCCAGCTTTTGCTTACTGCTTTTGTAAGGTCTTTGAAATTGGGTTTCTGCAGTTCCTTTTTTAAAATTTCCCTTCACTTTTGCTATTCTGGAAGCAGGATTTGTATGCCAGATTTCCCAATCACACAGGCTAGGTTGATGCTATTCTCCTATGGTGCTCTGGCTTCCCAGCCTTCTGCCCTCTCTGCTGATATCAGCCAAACACAGGGCTTTGCTTGGCCTGGCTGGACTGCTTTATGACTGTGACTGTACTGCCTGGACAACGAATAAAAGCTTATGGTTTGAAGGGGCTGCCTGTCCCACTCAGCTCCTCTCTGCTCCCATCATTGCCCCTGTGGGGTCACATCCCTTCGCAGGGAGCTGACTGTGCCTTGTTGAGGGGAACCACAAGCAGGGATGTTATGACCCCATATTCCCCTGGTAGTGCTTGACAGCTTTTTTGACCACCTGAGCTGTGCTGGACAGCTCTCATGTGAGTTTGGAGCAGATATGTGAATGGGAATCCATCAAGGGTGATGTGCCCCAACACACATTTTGGCCAAGAGTGTGTTCTGTGCCCATGCTTTGGCCAGAGCTGAAGGATCTCTGTGCTTTCAGCTTCCTGTAACCTGAAAGAAAAGTGAAGATCAGAGGTCAYCACCACCATGGCCTTTATTGGTGAGAAATAGGACAGAGAGCCATGGGCTCACTCCTGGTTTTGAGGTCTCCCACAGAACCTCTGTGGTGCTGCTTGAAGCACATTCAGGATACTCAAGTTGAGCCACTATAACCTGGATTTGCCATGGTAGAGTCAACACAGGCTGATTAGAGAGTCTCCCTGGAGGAGCCCCAGGAATATGGAGCTCCAGGAAGAGATTTTGTGGGGTTGGAAGGACCAGTTTAGCCCTGCAGGTTGTCCTGTCCTTGGCTCTTGTTGGCCTTGGACTTCAGGTTTCTCACAAAGTAGGACAGAGATCCTGTGCACCTGAGCACCATGGATCTTACAGCAGTTTGGTACTTCCCTGACCAAATACAATGTGGGTATTGGTGCTACTTCATTTTCCTTGGGGCTWCCTGAAGGGACAAGGGAACTTGGATGTTCTCTTCATCCTTGGCCAGGAAGGATAGGTCAAGTCCTGGTGCCTCTGCTCTGGTCTGCATACTCAGGCTGTGATTCTAGGTAAGTTCCTGCACAAATGCAGGGCAAAGGGTCAGGCTCCCCTTTCAAAACCTGGCCACAATTTGGAGACAGTCCAGCCTATGCTCTCCAACCACAGATGACTCTTAGGGTGATTTTCAGGGGAGTAAAGCATCTTGGGACCATGCACATCCCTTTAGTTTCCTCTTGCTTCCCCTGTTACTGATGAAAGACTGTCGAGGGAGTCAAAGTCTTGTCCAGAGATGTGCTGTGGTCATACTCCTACTTGAAATTCCCGTAGGTTTCAAATGAATTCAAGTAACTGAGGGCTAGTTCATAGCAGAGCCTGTACTGCTCCTGTGGGAAGAAGTAYGCACATGAGACTGTGGTAGGCCAACACCTGCAGTGCAATGTCAGCATTGGTTTCCAAGAGCTTCCTAAGCATGCCAGACACAGGCACATTCCATTGTCCTCCCCTCAGTTGGAGTCCACCTTCCCCTGCTGAGGAATCACAGGCATGTGCTCCAGGAGCTGGAGGGCTGGACTACTGCAGTGCTGGAGCCAGCTGATTTTGGGAGAAGAGCTATCCATGACAAAGCATTGAGCAACCCAGTGGACCAGAAAGGGGCCACTCATCATGCAGGATGCTTTGGYGCCTGTTCAGTTCTGCAGAACCTGYCCCTGYRKGARTGGGTATGTCCCAGACACAGAAAACAGGGTTTTCAAAGCTCACAACTGCCCTGCTGGCCCCAGGATGGTTTGAACACAGAGGGGCTGGGGAAGCGGCTGGGGCAATCCAAGATATGGCTCTGGTTTTGGTTGCCATCCCAGCTGGGTTTGAAGTCAGCACCTACCACATCTTTAATGAACTGTCTCCGCCGCCTCTTCAGCATCCTCACAGCCTGGGATACATCCACCATGCCCTCGCTTTGGATCTGCTCACACAGGAAACTAGCAGCACAGAAGATCCCACTCCGGCTGGCTCCATCCCTGTGAAGGAGGCCAAGRGGAGAGTCACTTGCTCTGAGATCAGATGGCAAGGCTGAGCCTCAAAGGTGTGCCCCTAAATGTCCACACTCTCAGATTGTGATCACCATCTTGCGCACAGATGCTGCACCCCGTCAGTCTTCACAGGGAAGCCTTCCTCCCTGAGCATAGCTGAATTCACATCCATACATCCACTCAAGATGGAGCTGAGACCAAGTTCACTGACACAGCCTGAGCTGTGTCCAGCTCTGTGCCATGGCTGCTCCTCCAGGAGACATCACTCACCAGCAGGTGACAAGGATATGTCCATCTTGGCTCTGCCGATGGTGGGTCTCCACCTTCCCCAACAAGCTGATGATAGTGTCAGGGTGCGGGGGAAGATGCTGCTGCATGGGCCAGTCTGTCAGTTGATGTAACTGGACTYCCACTGCAGATTTCTTGGGCTAGTGGGGAAGAAAGACAGTGGGCTGGGCAGAGAAGAGAYTTCTTGGCTTCATGGAGGGAAGGGAAAGGATGGTGCATGCCAGTCCTGGTTCAGACATGCACACTCGATCAAGGGAGCAGCTCCACAATGGGACAGCCCAGCCCCAGACTTTGCCCATCTCCATTGAGTGCTCTGACACTGACAGATGGACAGAGCACAAGAGAAGAGCTGAGCACCAGGTGCAGCCCAGGCTGACCAGTCTCCTRTCCAGCTACCTGCAATAGCTGTCCCCTTCCATGAGCCACCATGAGATGCACTAACTTCATCCACAGCTGGTGTCCTCCAGCTGGAAAGGCACACAAAGACACCTCTGACTTGCACCTCTGCCTGCAGCCTCACTTTCTTGGGATCAATCTCTCTCCCAAGGCAAAAGACCCTGCTCTGGCCAGTGCCCTTCCAGACCCCACCAGATCCCTCAAAGTCTCTAACTGTGACTTTGACCCCAAATTACAACCTGGTCCTCCCGGCTCTTGAAAAGGTTGTATTCACAGGAGTTTGCCATCTCTGAGCAAAGGGCTCACCTGCTGCCTGTTGGTGAGGACAAGTGTCCAGGTTGTGAAGCCAGCCCCAGGCTCCTCTGAGATCAGCTGGACATGGAAACGGCCATAGTCATCTTCACCCTGGGTGGGCCAGAACTGCACATATGTCTGGGGGAGGAGGAGAGGCGCATAATCACACACAGCCCCAACCTGCACACAGGGCAGAGCTCAGCAGCGGTGGGCTCACACCAATCCCTCGCCCATAAACCATGTACACACAGCTTGCCAGACACCTGCTGGACACCAACCGGGTACTGCAGCCAGAAAATAACACTCCAGCAGAGAGGACACCAGGGCAGGGGTAAACAAAACCTGAGCGATGCTCACTTGCAGTGATATAAGGGAACACCCCACTGCTGTGGTGGTGTGGTGCTGGCTGACCTCAGGGCTCTCCCAGGTGGCCCCCACAAGCAGTTGCTCTCATGGTAAGAGCTCTGCATAGTCAAAGGCAGAAATCGCACTGCTCGGCTRCACAGGGAGCCAGGAGAGGGGAAAAGCTGTGCTTGGGCTGCTGACCTTGTCCAGCTCCTGGAGCTGATTCAACACAACCACCGATGTGCAGGTGTAATCCCAGACCAGAGCCCAGAAATCCACCAGCGTGGTGGGGAAAGGCAGCTGGGTGATKATGATTCTCTCCTCCTCGGTGTACGTCTGCAAAACACACAGCAACGCGTGGGGATGGGAGAGTCACACAATCCAGTTCCCGAGAGCTCTTCCCACAGGGCCAACAGCAACCTGTGGATATGGAGAAGAGATAGGCCACCCCAGCCCTGCTCAGATCAGCTCAGGTTTGCGCCCCGCTGCCCCCGCTGCTCATCACACCCAGGTTCAGCTCCCAGCAGGCTGCGGCCGGCACAGGCGGCTGCGCTGCCTGCACCAGSCCGGCTCAGCAGATCGCGATCGCGGGGGCCATCTCCTGGCAGCAGGGCCAGCAGTCACTGTGCAGAGCCCGAGGGCTGGGACACCTCAGCCCTGGGAGGGATGCTCTACCCTGGCCTGGTGCAGGGGGGTCCCTGCTGCCCTGAGCCGCTCCCACTCCCGCTGGGGCCGGAGCCTTACGCTGGCAAACACGGCGTTGATGTAAGCTGGCGAGCCGTCTGCGTTCACCGACGACATCAGGATGGGCCGGCAGGAATCCGCTGCAGAGGCAAGGGGCAGAGAAAGGGAAATGGTGGGTTACCGTCCCCCTGCAAGAGAGCTACGGTCAACATAGCTCCCTGCGGCGTGGGCTGGGGAGGCGTGAATGGACAGGCACCATCTGACCCACRGCTGTGACAGCTCATGGCACGCGAATGTGGGATATCCAAAACCCAGAGGGTTTTGGGGATAGAGCAGAGCACAGCAGGTCCACCCTCCTCATTGCTGTGCTTCATCCGAGTTTCTCCACTGGGGAAGTTTAGACCAGGGACATCTTTGTCCCAGGTGTACCCCACGTTCCTCCAACAGGCTCAGAAAGAATCAGGGACCAGCCTAATCTGCATTTATCTACTAACCAGAAAACAAAGACTAGACCTTGMGCAGAACCTGCCAGTGTCATATTCTAGGGAGGGAAGCAGCAGGAAAGCATTGTTCCCCCTGTGTTGCTGTCAGGCATTAGGTTTTAGAGCAAGGGGCTACCCGGCCCTGCCAGCGTTACCTGGCAGGATCCCTGGCTTGCGGTTCTTGGGCTGGTTTCTGGGTTTCTCTGCTTCTCTGCATGGCAGGAGCTGGAACAACTCAGAAAACCTCTGCAGGGCCTGTAGAGACGATTCACCCATGTCAGTTCTGCCTGTCAGCAACTCACCCTCTTGAGCCACCCCAGAGAAATGATCCCCTACTTCCATCCCACTGCTGGGGAGGGGAGCAGCAAGAGGGGTGGTGACACCACAGACGAGCACCAGTGCAACATATCCTGGTGGTACCTTGAACTCCTTCTCTAGGACACGGTTGTGGCCTGAGGTCTCATCTTCTTGAAGGGAGTGTACAAGGGCAGCGATGCTCTCCACTGGGACCCCGGTGTTGCCACAGAGCAAGCCTTCGAGCAGCGCCTCGTACAGGAAGCTGTACTGCTCCTGCAGGAGGACATGGGTCAGCTGTGCAGTCTGGAGCCACTGCAGGAGGAACCCTGCAACTCCAGACCACCAGCTGTCATCAAACTGTGTCAGAAGTGAGCCAGGTTCATCCTTCACCTTCCTGCTGTGAGTCAGACACTTCTCATTGCAGGCAGCCCTGCTTTGGGACACAGCCAGCAGTTCCAGCTGGAGAGACAAGACAAGATCATCTTCCTGTGGTTTAATGTTCCTTCTCAGACCAGACCCCTGCTCTGGGGAAGGCAGCCCAGRAAATCTGTGGACTAATTAGACCTCCTACCAAGCGCTGGTTGGTCCAACCCAAACTAGTTTTCTCCAAAAGGACCCAGCATTAGCAGAGCATGAGGACATAGTCCCKAGGCCAGGACACAGCTGCTCAGGAGATGCCAGAACAGCAGACATCCTGAAAACCTGAGGGACAGACGGACTCTCATTCATGATCCTTGCCTACCAGACAGCCCTTTTATATCAGGATGACCAGTGCATACAAATACTGCTGATACCTCAGTCTTTGGGAAACAGAGATCCCAGATAGGTTTGGGAAAACAAGATCCTAGAGTCTTCACCTCCTGGCAGCCCCAGATCCTGTGGCTAGATGACGAACAGCACAGGTAGCGTGGCTTTGCATGCCACATCCCTGTGAAGGGTGGTGCTGAGACCAAAGCAGAAGAATTACAAAGGAACATGGTGGATTTGCTCAAGTGGCCCTACAGATGGGAATGCCAAAGTCTGGAAAATGACAGTGTGAGAAATCCCATATATATAAACAGCCTACTGCTGTTTATCCTCTGTCTGCTTTGAGAAGTAGAAACTCTGTAGAGATAACATAGGTGTTTACAGAGACATAGAAGCCATGGAGAGGTTTGAGCTCCCTGTCTTGGGAGAGAGATCAAAACCAGAGATCATGAAAGCACAGAGATCACAGCATGGCTGGTAAACCACACATATGTGGGATCTTGATAAATAGGTACAAACAGCAGCTCTACTATCCCTCAGGATGGACTGAGCCTGATGGTGCTGGCATGCCTGTTTTGTGTCACCTCCTGGATGTTCCTTCAGGATCCTCCAGCTGGCGAGATAATGAAATAAATTGACTCGTTGCATTTCACCCATGGTTTTGTGGTTGTTCTGATCATCTGCGTGTGCTGACTGCCACAGGTGGGAATTGGATCTGAGATGTGCAGGGAGCGGGTCACTCTCCTCACCTTGGTCTGCACCATGCTGAMCCGCTGCTCCCGCAGCTGCTGCACGCAGTGGAACACATCCACCTTCCCCTCTGCCTTCCCCATCTTCAAGAGGAAGTCCAGGGCGATGAAGGTACCTGTGCGTCCGATCCCTGCACTGAGGACATGGAAAATCTGGGTCAGTGCCGGCCCTGCCAGCCATGCCCCAGCACCTCAGTACCCCCAGGCCAGTACCTGCAGTGCACCAACACCGGGCCAGCAGGCACTTCCAACACCCTCTTGTTCACCACCTCCACCAAGCACAGGAGCTGGGAAGGGTTTCTGGGGACTCCGTGGTCTGGCCAAAGCAGGTAGTGAAATTGCTCCACTGCTCTTGGGAGAGCACAGCCTGCCTGCAAAGAGGGAAACATGGCTGGAAACAAGGAGCTGGAAGCGACCAGGAAACTTGTGTGAAGTCATTGCATGCCAACAAGGAGGGAGCAGAGGAGAAAACCACTCCAGGGGGGCACCAACACACACTGSTCCCTCCAGCACCCACACCATAATAACTGCTTCAGTATAGCTCCTCAGACAGTAAAGGGCAGATTCATCCATCACACAGCCATACAATTAATTTTGTTCTCTGCTTCACTGTGCTGTGAACAGTGAACACAAAGCAGCAAATGCAGCTTGTGCCCCAGATGGAAATTATAAAAATCACAGTTTAGGACATTTCCGTAGTCATCAAAAAGGCTTACCCAGAAAAATATATTCCCTAAGGCTGTCACTACACTAATATGAATGTAGTCACTTTTGTTATCAGCCCATTATGTGTTTTTTGCTAAACATCACATTCACTTGGCATCAACTAATGAACTAATGCTACATCTTACCATCAGGTGCTCTTGAGGCTTTAGCTTTCAGCTAGATTTTGCTCTGGGCAAGACAAGAAAGCATATGCATAAATGCATATGCATAACTGCAACTTCTTTATAATTGTACCTGYTCTCCCTCCTTGCAGCTCCTGCAGTTTCTGCTCTGTATTTGAGGTGTAACTTCAGCAGGAGCACCCATCTTGAGAAATGTAGGCTAACCTAAACCATAAACTATCTAAACTATTTGTCCAGGTTTAAAACTATAAGTAACCAAGGACCTTCTGTGTGGACCTTCTGCAGATTGATTCAGGTGACAGGCAAGCACCTGTCCCATCATCCTGGATGTGCAGAGCTTCCATTTTATACCCTTTGTAATCACTTGACCCAAGCCCTCAAGAGTCCACAATATTCCCATGTGCATCATCAGTCCAGACTCATCTGGGGTGACTGCTGGAGATGACAGATGGCCTTTGCCTGGCACAGAAACCTGGAACTGATGCCCTGACATGGGCCCAGTGATAGCAACGGAGACCATCAGAGCTCCCCATGGTGTAAGTGGCTGACAGCTCCCACCAGCTGCTGAAGCCCAAATGTATCCTGCATTCCCACCTCAGCTCCATGCCAGGCTTACCCTCTGCAGGCAGAAGAGGCGTTTGACAAGGCCTGTGGTGGTCAAGGTGTTGTTGAGTGTCACGGTAAAGTCGCCGTAGACCTGCTCCTGCTCTGGCCAATACTGCTCACACTTGACCTGTCAACAGCAGTGAGATCTCTGGGCAATCAAACTCACAARGGGAGCATTGCAGGGATGCAGAGCTGCTCCCTGCCCTCACTGACGGCTGCTCTGGGAGCACAGCAGGTGTCGAAGCCTGGGCTCTGGTGATGCCCAAGCTGAGCGTGGGCTGAGATGTTTTCTCTACCTTGTTCTGCTCCACTAAGCCTGTCAGCATCACAATGACCGAGGTCTTCTCCTGCCACACCATCTGCCAGAAATCCACCACTGTGCCAGCCAAAGGACCTTGGGAAGGAAGAGRGGAACCCTTTGCCAGTGTCCAAGCCATGGGGGTATGTTCCCAGGCACAATTCAGACATTCCCAGGCTTTCCTCCACCCAGGGACAGAGGTGCAGCCGGGGGGCATCAGCACCTGGCAAGGTGGCTGGGCAGGCTTTGTCACCATGTTAGAAATTAGGACAAGAAGAAGGGAGCCCAGGAGAGATCAGGGATTCACTTCCTCTTTAGGGGCTCCCACATGCAGACCCTTGAGATAACTGTGAGCTGCTCCCACCTTTAGGGTCCTATTTCCAAAAAGCATTTCTGCAGCTCTGCAGGGAGCCTAAGATGTCCTCATTCTATGCTGCACAGAGCAGACTAACCCATCCCAGCTTTGCACTGCTGGGAGGAGACTGTATCTAAGTGCACTGAGTGCAGACATGCCAGGCGTTTGCAAGATTGTTGTCCCTGTTGTGCCCCCCTGCCAGAGGGAACAAACTAGGCATGGTGGAAGGACCATTTCCTCAGACTGTGCAGTTCGGACACTGGCTCCAGCTGCTGCCAAACCACCACTGAGACCTTCCACAGCCTGCAGCAGCTGTAACCACTGCTCAGGACAGAGAGCCTGGAGATACAGGGATTTGGACTSAGCCATTCACAGCTCCTTGGCTGCTATGCTTGTTCCCCATTCCCCAGATTACTCAGGGCAGTGACTGGCATCCCCTGAGTCTGAGGTTTGGGAGCACCTACCTTGAGCTGCAATAAAGAAGCGTGGACTTCKGTAGCTCTGCAGGGGAGAGATTCAAACAGTTCTGATCACATGGGTTAAATGTTTAACAGGGAAAGAAATAAAGGATCCACCCCATAGGCACCAAAACCCAGAGCCCCCAGCACAGTCCATCCCCTAGCACCTCTCCTAGCCAGCACAGAGAGTGGGTACCCAGGGGCTGCACYTCAGCTCCTGTCCCCTTTGGATCCCTTTTTGTTACAGATGAAAGCTGTACACAAACTCAGAGTACTTTAGGCACCTCAGAGAGGATTCAGGGGAAGCAACATGTCAAGACCTGCCAGCACTTGAGGGCAAAAAGTGCCAGACCTCAGAGCCCCCCACATCAGTGGGACTTTCCTCACCCAGCCCCTCAAGCCAGGCACCTTCCCTACCCTTCCCAGGGCAGTAATTCCTCACTACCTACATCCACATAGCTGGCATTGATGTAACCATTCCCGGTGTCAGAGGGCTGCAGTACCACACGGCAGTGATCATCTGAAAGAGAAGGGACGTGGACGGATGCTTTAGGGCAGCAACAAAGAGACTGATTAAGGGGGAAGGTGAAATTTATTACAATCTGTGGTTGTCTGTTGTCTCCTCAGCAGCACCCCAGGCCTCAGGACATGTCCTGAAGAGGTCTCAGGACATGTCCAGGGGCAAAGAATAGCTGATGAGACAAAGGGTGAGATGGCACAGCAGGAAATGCAATGGGGTTTTAGAGAAGATTATGACATGGCCAAATGTACACACCATGTGGGGCCCAGAGGAGCTTTAAAGTTTGAAGGAAATTGGGTCACTCCTTCCGCTTTTCTTCTGCAAATACCTGCCTCTGGCTAGGAGTAATAACTAATGTCAGGAACAGCAATGTTTGATTGAGTTCACAGAAGGATTTGTAGAGCGGAACCAGGATTCTCCAACTGGATATAAAACAGTGGAGCCAGAAATCCCTCTGGGTTTCAATGACYATGGAAGATGAGATTAGTAGCGCAGTATTCTGAAATGCTGCAGGGGCACCTACACCAGCCCAGCATCCTGTGCTGCCCCAACCAGCTGCAAGCTCCTGAGCCAAACTCTGCGGAGCTCTGCTTACATGGGATGATGCTCTTGTAGCGGTTCTTGCTCTGATTACATAGCTCATTCCCAGCATTGCAGGCGTGCAACAAAGTGGAGGACAGTTGCTGCAGAGGAAGAAAACAAGCCCACTCAGCATTGGGATATATTCTGGGGCTGGCCAAGGCCAATTGCATCACACACACAGGGAAGGGGTGAGGGCTGGGTGAGCAGTGCAGCTGGGTGAGAAAGCAAAGCTAAACCAGACCTGATACTCTCTAAGGAGCCCGGCACCATGCCTGTCGACTGATTCATCATCTGTCTGCTCTGCCTCTATTTCTTCCCTCTTAAACATCTTCAGAGCCTCCAGCAACTCCTCCACGGGGATTTTTGTGTTTGTCTTGCATACTTCTGCAAAGACCACAAGGACAGGACTTCAGCATCCGGCTGATGCTAAACTGGCCAGCCCTGAAACTCTGCAGCTGGGACTGAAATAGCAGCTGCTAGAACCTCTTCAAACTTCAGATTGTCCCTTCTCACGGAGGTTCCTTCTCCTGAGAAGTGTCACTTTCCCCATGTCAACCAGCTTATGGAGTGTGCAATCATCCTGCCTGTGCTTTCAACAGACAGCCTGTCTAGACAAGGTGCACAAGGCCCTTGTTCATACTTCACCTTTTCGACATCCTCTCAGGGGTATAGTGCTGTTGTTCTCTGAGGTTTTTGATTTGTTGTGCTTTAGCCTGCAAAACAGCAAGTCAGGTCCATAAATCAGGAGAACAGAGAGACAAAGAAGAGGCTGTTGCCCCTCTAATCACCCTGCTTCCCACCCTGCTTCATCTCAGAACCCCCTGGACACTCCCTGCCACTGCAAGCTGCTGAATGCCTCACAGAGGGCAGCAGAGGTGAGGTGCATACTGACCTGAAGAGCACAAAGAGCAGCAAAATACCCAGTGCCAGGATTGCAACAGTCAGTGCTACTGCCATAACCACAGGCTTCCTGTCCAGCAGAGATGACGCCTGCTGCCCTGCAAGCAGCACAGACCAGGCTCAGGCTCCTGCGCAGCCTGAGCCAAGCATTGGGAGATCCCATAAGGACAAGGAGAGAAAAGCAACTTCTCTTGTCTTCCACCTTACTCTGTGCATTAGAGAGAAGTGACGGGGGGACAGAAAGAGCAGGTGATTTCTTGGTGTGATACCTCTTCTGTGGATCCTGTGCCCCTGACTGGCATTGCCAGAGTCTGGTGAAGTATTTCCATTAAGGAATTGCACATACAGCACAGGGGAGCACTGGGACTAAGACTAAACATGTGGTGATGGCAGGGATGATACACAATGTCCAGCAGATATTGGGGCCACACCTGCCCAAGTATCCTGAGGATGTCCAAAGCCCATCTACCATAGATCTTTTCAGGATCTAGAGAACTACTGTGAAGGCCAAAGTATGACAGTACGCCAGCAGATCTGCATTGTGCCAGCTCATTTCCAGGGCAATTTCCAGGCTGGGAGAATGAAAAATGCAGGAGAGACACTTGGGCACCATGAGCAAGGAGATACTTACCAAGGGAGAAGCTGTAGCAGACACAGGTGAGCTTCTGTACCTGCTGGAGGAGACACAAGGGAGAGCTCAGCCCACTCCCGCAGCACTACCTTACCTGGCAGCAGAGGTCCCCACCCAGRGCCAYCGAGTGACCCAGCTGTGGCCAGGGACCCCAGGGACACCATCCTGCCAAGGCCCAGACACACCGAGGGGCCCAGCCCGGCCGGCAGAACCCGCAGAGAGCAGGACCCCCTCGATGGTACCTGTGGCAAGGGGCGTTCGAGGAGCAGCACGGCCGAGTAGTCCCAGCCCGGGTGCAGGGTGGGGTTGTGGTACTGGAACCCGTGGCTCCCATCGCCCAGCACGAAATCCCTGGGGGCGGTGAGGTTGAGATGAGCGGCCACGTAGATGCTGTTATTGAGGAACGGTAGCTGCCCCGCGCAGATGCTCTTGATCACGGAGCTGTTTTGCGTCGCGGCCACGATCAGATGGTGTCCCCTGCAGGGCCGACAGTCAGTGGGATGGGGGACAGTGGGGACACTGGAAAGAGGTGTCTGMAGGCCAGCTCTGGGATGGGAAGAGCCGTGCCGGGGCTGCAGAGCTGCGGGGGCTGCACTCACARGACCGCCTCGGGCGGAGGGGCGATGGGGCTCAGGGCAAGCACGGCCGTCCCTTGGGATGGGGCGATGTCGCGGGCGCTGCGGCAGCTGATGTCCAGCGGGTGCGGGKTGTCTGAAGGGGAACACCCGGGGAAAGAGCATGGGCAGGGCTGTGCGAGGAGCAGGGGGAGCCTCGGGCAACGCCGGCGGCAGAGCGCAGCTCCTGTGAGCCCGAGCTCCCGGGACAGGGACACGGCAAACCTCACCGGAGCTGCTGGCCTGAAACTCCTTCATCAGCGCAGGGCCGGCTCCAGCAAGCGTCAGACCCCGGATCGTCACCGCGTAGCTGCTGGCAGGGCTGCGCTCCGGCAGYCGGTACTCGGTGACRGAGCCATCCAGGCGCCGCAGCTCCGTCTCCAGCGCGCTGCTGTCCCCCGCGTTCCTGACAGTGATGCTCAGCTGCGGACAGGAGACACAGCTGGAATGCAGCAGCTCCCACCTGCCCGTGGGAAAGTGCCCGCCGCTGGCAAGATYCYCCCGGGCCGCCCTTCGTGTGCCTGCCCCGGCTGGAGACGGATCCGGAGAGGAATGGGCGGGAGCCTCAGCCCTATGAGAGGACCTCGAAGCAGAGAAGAGGAGAACAGGAATTTGGAGCCAGCGCTAAGGATGTGAGAGCAGCTGCCTCTGTGAGTAAAGGGCAGAACCTCTGTGAAGAGGGAGGCTGTTCATTTGAAAAGCTGTAGGTAGATGTCCTGAGCCCGAGGACAGGCCTTGCAGTGTCACAGGCACTGTGGTGACATCCTCCACAAGAGGAGCCCTGATCTTTTTCCTCCTGCAGGTCATCACCATTGTCCCTTTCACACACTTCCCAGTCATCCTGCACAGAGCTGCAGGCCAGGAGGTGAGGATCTGCCCTGCTCACTTCATACCTTGTATCCGGTGATCTTCCCTTTGCAGGAGGACAGCGCCTTCCACCTGAGAGAGCCGCTSTCMGGATCCAGCCACAGSTCCTCCACTTTGTCCGGCACTGGAAGCACAGGAGGATGGGGTCACACACAGGGCCATGAGAGGGGCTGAGGCCAGAGGAAGATGCAGCAGCTCCTGGCCATGGGACAGACTGCAAAGGGACTCCCTAAGAAAGGTTTGTCCCCTGCAAAGGCTGCATGTGCTGCAGCAGTGGGAAGCACAACAGGGGGTGTGGAGTGGGACAATGAGAAGGGAGCGTGCCCTGCTCAGAGCCCAGCACAGCCCCTTCCCCAGAGCCCCTGAGGATCCAGGCAGCCCTGATCCCAAGCACATCACTGCAGGGAGCAAATGACCAGGCTGAGCTGACAGGTGAGGGGAACATTTATCCATCTGTGACACAGCCCTGGACTGTTCCTTGTCTCCGATATTTCAGGGGTGCACATACCTGCTTCCCCTGTCCTGAACACCCATGAGAAAAGGGTTGTGTTGGGAGAAAATTCCATGGTGACGCTGTACTCAGTGAAGGGCTGCAAAGAGGAGCAGGTGAATGTTCCCTCCTGGCCATGTAACATCTGCTCTCCATTCACCTCCTCAGCCTCACAGGAAGGAGAGGAAGGCACTGACAGCCGGCACATGGCCCTTATGCCCTGGCAGGCGTCAGGGAACCTGCAGGTCCAGTTCAGTTTGATGCTGGTGCTGGAAACCTCCAGGGTCTCATGGTTGACCTGGAGGACATCTGTGAAGGGAAGATTGTCAGAGGGTCACTCTATTGCCTTCTCCTCCCAGCCATGCAGGGCTGCTGCAGTGAGACAGCCCTGCTCACCTCCCAACCTGGTGGGAGGGAAAGTGAAAGACTGAARCTGGTCTTGAAGGGGAGCAGGAGGTGTTTGGTGTCAGGTTGAACCAGCACACTGAATGTGACCCTTTGGGTGAATTTCTTCCGTGAGAAAACTGCACCTGTTCATTCAAACATCAGGACACATTGAGGGGAGTAGAAGGAATCCAAGAGAGTGTGTCCACAGCTGGGTGACATCACGGCTCACAGGAATCAGCATTGGGATCCTGCCTCCCTCAGACCCTCTGAGATGGGTGGCTGCAGTCATCAGTTGGTGCCACAGGAGAGCACAGCAGGAGACATTTCATCCTGGTCTGAAAGCAGGATCTGCTTCCACAATCACCAACATCTCAGCACTGGGCCCAAGGGAAAACCCTGACCTTTTCCTTGCTATTCCCTTTCAGAGACATTCTCAGGATCCCGATCTACAAAGGACTGTCCAGCTCCTAACCCCTCCCTTACTAATGCATTTAACTTCGTGTGTCTGAATCCAGTCATTGTGCATGTCTTTTGCCCGCCACAAGAGTCTGTCCACAGGTTTTCCATAATAGTTGTACTGGACTTTGCTCCAACATTTGATTTCAGTAAAGGATRGCTGGAAACCTTCCGGGCAGCTCAGCATCACTTTCTCATCACAGCAGGAGACATTTCATCCTGACCTGGAAGAAGGATCTGCTTCCATAGTCACCAAACTCTCAGCATTAGACCCAAGGGAAAAATCTGACCCTCCTGTGCTGTCTCTCACCCAGACACTTTCTCAGGCTGCCCCGTTCAGAGGAGTGCTCCTGATCCCTCACTTACCAATGCATTTCACTTCTGGCATCTGAATCCAGTTATTGTGGGTGTCCTTTGCCCCCCATGAGAGTCTGTTCACAGGTGTCCCATAACGGTTGTACTGGACTTCCCTCCGACATTCAATTTCAGTSAAGGATGGCTGGAAACCTTCAGGGCAGCTCAGTGTCACTTTCTCATCCTTCCCATAATTCTCCTGGTTTGGTGCTAGCTGGAGTCTGGAATCCCATGGGGGCCTTTGGCACCTTTCTGGCAGAGATGAAAGAGAACGTTAGATGGGCTGGGAGGGAATGAGATGGGGTATGAGTGGGTGGTGGAAGAGAAATCCCCAGCAGTTCTTCCAGCCACAAAAGAAAAAGCTGGTGAAAAGCTACTTGTACACAAGCTTTGCTCTCAAACAACCTTGACAGCAGAAGGCCACAGATGCACAGCTGAGCACCACAGCCAGCAGCTTTGTCCTCCTGCCAGCCCAGCCTGGTGGGAGGGAAAGTACAAGATTGAATCTGGTCGCTCCAGTGCTATTGAATGGGAGTAGTGGGAATTCGGGATCATGGTGCACTAGGAGACTGAATGTGACACTTTTGGTGAATTTCTGCTGTGAGAAAACTGCACCTGTTCATTCAAACATCAGGGCATACTGGGGGGAGTAGAAGGAATCCAAGAGAGTGTGTCCCCAGCTGGGTGACATCATGGCTCACAGGAAACAGCAATGGGATCYTGCCTCCCTCAAACCCTCTCAGCTGGGCAGCTGCAGTCATCCTTTTGTGTCACGGGAGAGCAGAGCAGGAGACATTTAATCCTAGCTTGGAGCAGGATCTACTTCCACAGTCACCAACCTCTCAGCACTGGGCCCAAGGGAAAACCCTGATCTTTTCATGTTGTCTCCTCATGGAGACATTCTCAGATCCCCCCCTGCAAAGGACTATCCTGCACCTGACTCTTCCCTTACCGACGCACTCCACTCTGGACTGAATGCGGACCCAGGAACCTCCGGARTCTTTTCCAAGCCAAAATTCTCTGTCTACAGGTTTCCAATCATCATTGTGCTGGGCTTCCCTCCGACATTCGATTTCAGTGAAGGATGGCTGGAAACCTTCAGGGCAGCTCAGTGTCACTTTCTCATACTCCTCGTACTTCTTCTGGTCCGGTGCCAGCTGAATTCTGAAGTCCAACAGGGGCTTTTGGCACCTTCCTGGCAGAACTGAAAGRGAATTTTATTTAGGCTGGGAGGGGATGAAATGGGGTATGAGTGGTGGTGGGAGACAAATTCCCAGCAGCCCTCCAGACACAAAGGAAATGCTGGTGACAAGCTACTTGTACACAGGCTTTGCTCTCAAACAAGCTTGACAGCAGAAGGCCACAGATGCACAGCTGAGCACCACARCCAGCAGCTTTGTCCTCCTGCCAGMCCAGCCTGGTGGGAGGGRAAGTACAAGATTGRATCTGGTCRCTCYAGYKCTATTGAATGGGAGTAGTGGGAATTYGGGATCATGSTGCACTRGGARACTGAATGTGACACTTTTGGTGAATTTCTSCTGTGAGAAAACTGCACCTGTTCATTCAAACATCAGGGCATACTGGGGGGAGTAGAAGGAATCCAAGAGAGTGTGTCCCCAGCTGGGTGACATCATGGCTCACAGGAAACAGCAATGGGATCTTGCCTCCCTCAAACCCTCTCAGCTGGGCAGCTGCAGTCATYCTTTGGTGTCGTGGGAGAGCAGAGCAGGAGACATTTCATCCTGGCCTGGAAGCAGGATCTACTTCCACAGTCACCAAGCACAGCACTGGGCCCAAGGGAAAACCCTGGTCTTTTCCCTTGCTCTCACCCAGACACTTTCTCAGGATCTCCCCCCGTAAAGGGCTATCTTGCACCTGAYYGCTCCCTTACCAACACACACAACTSTGGACTGAATGCGAGCCCAGGAACCTCCAGAGTCTCTTCCAAACCAAAATGCTCCGTCCACATATTTCCCATCATTGCTGTATTGGGCTTCACTCCGACATTCAATTTCAGTGAAGGGTGGCTGGAAACCTTCAGGGCATTTCAGTGTCACTTTCTCATAMTTTCTGTAATTCTTCTTGTCTGGTGCCAGCTGGAGTCTGAAGTCCAACAGGGGCCTTTGACACCTTCCTGGGAGAGCTGAAAGAGGGTGTTATTTGGGCTGGGAGGGAATGATATGAGATATGGGTGAGTGGTGAGCAACAAATCCCCAGAAGCCCTTCCAGCCAATAATGTGGGAGGGAATGTGACACATCCATCTGCTGGGATGTGACCAGCAGGCAAGGCTTGTTGGGAGGAGGCTTTCCTTGTGCATGGAAATTGTGAAGGAACACTCATCCATGAGCTTGCCCCACTCACCCTTGTGTCTGTGGGCACCATATTCCCTCCTCCATAGCCCACAGCAGGGAGATTCCCAGGACAGCCACCCCTGCACAAGGACGCTCCCTCCACCCTCTCATTCAGGCAGGTCACCCAGCCCAGCTCAGGTGGCCCTTGCCATCACACCCCCACTCCTGCTGGCATGCATGTCCCTTCAGCCACAGCTCACCCTCCCACTGGGATCAGCCATGCCCCTGTGAYGCTTGTGAGGTCCCWGTTCTGACTCACTCAGTCCCTTGGCTGCTCTCCTCCTGCCCCTCCTGGGCAGTGGGACATGGGGCTGATCAGTGCCTTCTCCATTTCTATCTCCTGCTTTACCAGTGCCCCTGTCCCTTTCTCTTGACCAACCAACCCTTCCTTCTTCCCATCACCTCCTCACCAAAGCCACCACCTTCCACAGGCACAGCTGGTGCCAGCAGTTTGTCCAGTGCCACAGCAGGAGGCTTTGTGGCAACGAATTCCTACAGACAAGGATGCTGGCTCTTTGAAAGGAGCTCTTGACTGTTCAAGCCTCTGCAAGAAACTCTGAAAGGGCTTAATATACAATCTTCCTCCTCCCAAAGGGGCACACAAGGGATTTCACAAGAGTTTATCAGACAAGCTTGTGAACATCCGCAAAGGAAATGCTGGTGACAAGCCACTTGCACTCAGGCTTTGCCATGGCTTCCACAGTCACCAAACTCTCAGCACTSGGCCCAAGGGAAAACCCTGACCTTCCCCTGCTGTCTCTCACCCAGACACTTTCTCAGGATGCCCCGTTCAGAGGAGTGCTCCTGATCCCTCACTTACCGATACACTTCACTTCTGGCATCTGAATCCAGTCATTGTAGGAGTCCTTTGCCCACCATGAGAGTCTGTCCACAGGTTTCCCATCATCATTGTGCCGGACTTCCCTCCGACATTCAATTTCAGTGAAGGATGGCTGGAAACCTTCAGGGCAGCTCAGTGTCACTTTCTCATCCTTCCCATACCTCTCCTGGTTGGGTGTCAGCTGGAGTCTGGAATCCCATGGGGGCCTTTGGCACGTTTCTGGAAAAGGTGAAAGTGGGTGTTAGATGGGCTGGGAGGGAATGAGATGGGGTATGGAGTGAGTGGTGGGAGAGAAATCCCCAGTAATCCAGTCAGCCTCTGATGGGGAGCGGGAAGGTGACACATCCACCTACCATAGTGTGACCGGCAGGCAAGGCATGTTGGGAAGGGGCTTTCCTTGTGCATGGAAATTGTGAAGGAACACTCATCCATGAGCCTTCCTCACCCACCCACTTCTGTCTGTGGACACTCCTATCCACCTTCCATTGCTCCAAGCAGGKATATTCCCCTGTTTTCTCTCCCTGCCCACCTCTCTTGAGCACTGCCATGTACTGTGCCATGGTCACACTGAGCACAGCTCTGTCCCCACCTGGGACAGCTCTGCCTCCCCATCCCCTGATGGACACCATTGCTCTCCCCCAGGCCCTTTCCATACAGTCTTCTGTCCCAATGCCAAGAGCTGAACCAGCCCTGCACCCCCCAGGGGTCCCTTCAGTCCCCTTCACCGCAGCTCCTGCAGGTGCAGGACATGTCCCCCAGGTTCCTTATCCATAGGCCAGCAGGGGAACAAGCAGACCTGTGCATGCCAGGGTGAATCATTCTGTGACACAGCACAGAAAAGATAACGAAACCTCCATGGGCACCTGGGTGGTGGCCTCAGATCCTGCTCCAGGCCTGGGCAGCCATCTGGGASCCCCAGACTTGTCCTGCTCAGGAACTACTGCAGAAGCTTTCAGCTTGCCCAGCTGGTGCTACYTGGTCTGTTGTCTCCTGCCTGGATTGTCCTCTTCAGCAGAGGCACAGGCAGCACAGCCCCCAGGAGGGACTGTGGTGTGGCTGCTGCTGAGTCAGGCTCCTGAGGGTGAAGGTAGAGGGGAGACATGGGAGAGCTGCTGCAGCCTCACTTACCCATACACACTACGCCACTCTCAATGCGCATCCAGGCACCTGTGTTCTTCCTGCCCCACCAGGCATCCCCGTAGACTGGTTTTCCAGAACTCACTTCCTGAAGCTCCCTTGAACATTTGACCTCAGGGAAGGATGGCTCGAGACCCTCAGGACAGGTCAGTGTCTGTTCTTTGTTCTGTGGGTATTTATTTCTGCTTTCTAGGAACCCAAGTCTTGTATCCCATTGAGGTTTTGAGCACTTTACTGTCAGGGAGAAATTGTGAGAGTCCTGTTCAAACACGGGCTTCTGAGGCAGGAGAGGGACCAAGGCTTTTCCATAATTGACTATGGTGTCAGCATCCAACACTGTATTTAACATTGTGGTAATTATTGTTTACAGGCACTTAGGATTCATTCAGTCTCTCATAAAATCATAGAATGGCTTGGGTTGGAAGGCTCCCAAGGAAGATCACGTGGTTCCAGCCCTCCTGCCCTACACAGGGACATCCTTCCACTACACCAGGTTGTCCAGGTTGTTTTCATGAGGAAACCCAAGGACCCCCAAGAGCAGAAAAGGAATGTGTGCCTGAGCAAGGAGGTGATACAGAACACTGGGAGAGAGATGAACTGAGGGAGAAGACCTGTCCCCCTCCATCTTCCCCATGGCCTGCAACTCAGGAGTAGAATTGGGAGGAGATGCAGGGACATCTGTCCCACACAGAAGGCTTCTAACCCTCTCCATCTTGGTGACAGCTCCCAACTGGGACCTRTTTCTGAGCTGTTCCCAAGGTGTCACAGATATGGCAGGAGGTTCCCTCCACAGCAAGAAGTGCACATAGCAGGGGAGACCTGCAGGTGTCCAACTTACCCTGGTTGGTGCAGCTCAGGTCTTCTTCTATTTTAAGCCATATTCCCCAAATGTTCTTCACCTCCCAAGGATCCTCCCAACCTGGAGAAGCACATCTGATCACAGCAAGGGGAAGAGTGCTGTTCACAAAGCAGCTCAGYGTCACTTCTTCATTGAAATTGTAAAATTGCTGATTTGGGTTAAAGCGAAGCTTTTTGTCCCACTGGGGCTGCCGGCATATCTCTGCACAGAGGAGAGGAGAAGGAATACATGTAAGCGGGATGGGAAGAGGTCTGTTGGGCCATGTCTTGCCCTGGTTTTGACAGTGTCCATCTCTTTGGTTGCTGTATCCAACTCCAAATCCCTCTCTTGCAGACAGGTGTGCTGCTGGCTCTGTGCATGGCTTTACTTTAGGGGTCTACCCTCTGACCAGATCCCACTTTTCATGTAATAAGAAATGCAACTCTCTGTGAATGTTCCTCCATCCAACAAATTTAGTTGTAGCTACCCAAACTTTGTCCAAAGTTACTGGGGTGCAGCCAGGAAGGCACAGTGAGTTTTMACTGTTTCCTACAACACCCAAATGGCAGCAAGGCTCCCCACAAAACCAGGAGTGCTCTGCACAGCTCATGCAGCCTTGCAGCGGACTACAATACCTGCACCACCCCAGACAGAATGAAGCTCCTCATGAAAAAGTGGGAAAAAAATTACCCCCAGTCTGGCAAATTGAGTGGYGAATATTTCAAGCAGGTGAGAGCTRCTCATGAAGGCATTTCCCATGTTTTAATTTGTGTTTCAGGGCACCAGTTTGTGCCTGTGCAAACCTTATTTGTTGACAGGTATTCTTTRATTCTAGAGTCACCACAGAAGTTGTTGCTTGAAAAGAATTGTATGGACCTGAAGGGCTGTGGCCTGAAGCAAGAAGCAGTTTGAGAGATGAAAACTCTCCAGTGGAGGCAGTCTTAGGAACTGAGGGGGCTGTGAGTGCTCCCAAGAATGGCTGGCCTYTCCCACATTGACTTCAGTGCAAGGGGGCCTCATCATTTTGCATTTTGTAACTGTTCCACACCTCCTGGTAGCTGTGAGAGGCCCCACACACACAAACCTCACCAGCCGCACTGCACTTGGCAACCTGCTGGGTAGGAAACCAGGAGGAAAAGAGAAATTTTCCTTTGCATGCACCCTGTTGACACAGGTGCAGATTTCAAGAGGTATCTGGGCCAATGTCTTCCCACAAATAAGGATGCTGTGCTGGCAGGGATGATTGCAGCTGTACAGCAGAGCTCTGCCTTGCTTCCAGCTTTCCATGAGTCTCTCCATATTGCAAAGCTGTTACTGCTAAAACTATCATTAATGGGCTCATCATTAAAACTCTCTAGATTTACTGGACTTCCTCGCAGCTTTCCTGGGCAGCGTGTTCTAGTGGACACCAAAATACTGACTGCAACACTTTCAGCRTGACCATCCAGCTAACTCCTCCCCCATTGAGTCCAAACATCATTCCACACCTTCACAGTTTGGAGACAAGGATGTCAAGCAGGACAGTCTTGGGTATGAATGAGGTAGAGCTCACAGCCCTCCCAGTGCTGTGCTTTGCATGAGTAGCTGGAAGGGTGTTGGTAACAGACCAGTGTTTCGGCTGCTGCTGAGCAGTGCTGTCTTGCTGACATTCTTCCCCCTCAAAGGGATGGAGGCAAGATCCTGGGAGGGGGCACAACTGGGCCAGCTGACCCAATCAACCAAAGGGATATTCCATGCTGTATGACATCAGCTCAGAGATATAAAGCTGACCATAAAGCCATACACACGGACATCCTTCCACTACACCAGGTTGTCCAGGTTGTTTCCATGAGGAAACCCAAGGACCCCCAAGAACAGAAAAGGAATGTGTGCCTGAGCAAGGAGGTGATACAGAACACTGGGAGAGAGGGAGAAGAGAGATCATTTGTGATTCTCCAATATTTCAAGGACAGTAACAAGCTTAATCCTGGCTGTGTAATAGGTACCCAGTAAGCTGCTCTATCACTCCCATTCYCAATGGGACAGGGAGAAAAGAAGATGGAGAGCAACTGGCAGGTGAGATAAGGCAGTTTCATTGCAGTGAAAGGAAACCTGTGAGAGTCTGAGTGTGTAAGCTAAGAAAAAAACTCCATCTCTATTTCCCATCAGCAARTGCTTCCATKTTCCATTATCTTATGYCCTTAACATAGTTTTTAGCAGCCTGTTATAGCTTTTAGTCTTTCCAGAAGTCTGTGGATGATAAAGAGTATGATATATCCACTTAATACCATSTCTCTTTGCCCAGGAGTTTATAAGATTATTCCGAAAATGAGTCCCATTGTCTGACCCAATTGTCTCTGGCTAGAATGAAAATGGGGTGCTCCCACCTTGTTTTGAATTTCTCTTAAGTRTGTTATCACAGAGGTGTAACCAACATTTCTAACTGGCCCAGCCTTGGCCAGYAGCATGTCTATCATCAGAGCGCTCAGGGATTGGCTCTGCTGGACATGGTGGAAGCTTCTAGAAGCTTCTCACAAAAGCTGTCTCTGTGGCCCCTCCTGCCACCAAAAACCAGAAAGAAGAAAAACCAATACACAAGTCCAGGTGGATTATGTCAATCACTGCTCTTTTATCCACCAATGCTTTCACCCAGCCACAGAAGGCTAACAAATTTCTCAGACATGATTTGCTCTTAGTGAAGCCATCACCAATAATCTCCATGTGCCTTCGAATAGTTTCCAGTAGGAACTGCTCCATGATGTTGCCAGGCACCAGAGGCAGACTGACTACCCTGTAGCTCCATGGGTCTGCCTCATTTCTCTATTTTTAAAAGGGGGTTGTGTTTCTCCTTTTGCAGTCAGTGGGGCTTTACTGGAAGTTCCCTGCTACAGCTTCTCAWAYATGATGGGTAGTGGCTTTGCCTCTTCCTCCACCCTCAGGACTCACACACGTATCTCATCAGGTCCCATGGATTAGTGCTTTATGGATTACACTTTCAAGTATCTCAGATGGGCTCAAACTTGATCTTCTCCTGCAGCAGCCTGGTCTGCATTCYGCCAATCCCTGCTTTTGCCCCCTTCAACTCAGTTGGTTACTTTCCCTTGGTTTCCCTAAGAAAATAGGTGCTGTGTAAAACTCCTGGGCTGGAAGCAGGTGTGAAGGGATTTCATGAACTGAGCTGGTGTAACAGCCACACATTTTCTGACTAGGCTGTCTGCCTTCACCAGGACTCCAGTGAGCCATTTCTCTTAAACCTGGGCACCTATCAGACTTAATAGGAACATCAGCCTCTTTTCTGTTGTCTTTATTTCAGGTGAAAAGTGCTTCACGGAGGTGCAGCCTTGCTCCAGGCTTTCCTCAGTGTTCCTGTCAGTGTCTGCTGAGCTGGGATACTGGCATGCTGCTTGGATACAGCGTGGTTTCCAGCAAGGGCAGACACCTGAAATGTGCTTCTGCAAAGACCACAGGTGTGCCAGCACTGTTTCAGTGGCCACATCTCCCCTTCGGACATAAAGACTACAAGGGAGAGCAGTCCTGCAGGCAAACCCTCTTTGCTTCTCCTCTGCCCACAGAGCCCCTTGCAAGCACCAGGGGGATTCCTGTCTTMTGTGACTCACCCTTTCCTTCCCAAGCTCTCTGAGCTGTGTTTGATACCATGTGCTTGATGAGAGGAGCTAAGAATAGCAACCACAGTGTCCACAGAGAAAACCCCTGTTTTTCCAGTGGAGAGTTGCACTGCAAGCCATTGAGAACACAAACATGGGTCATAGAGCATGTCTCTGASCTTGGGAATGGAGGCGATCATTTGACCTAATTTTTTAATTCTCTGCAGGCACCCCTGTGCTCTTTGGCCTGTCCCTGTTGTGCTCAGCTATGGGGCAGGCAGAGGCTGATACAGCAYCCAGACCCAAGACTGTGGATGAGCAGAGCGCAGGGTCAGGATGGGAGCGATCAGAAAAGGCAGGCAGACCCCACAGCGCATCCCCATACTCAAAGAAGCCAGGGACTGGGGAGTACCACTACAGGGGAATGCACCACCATCAGAGAGTATCCTGGGAATTAATCCTGTCTGACAGAGGGATGGGTATGGCAAAAGGGGCATTGTACACCCACAAGGCAGCCTCAGGGACTCCCAAAGCTTATTTACCCCCTGCATGCAGAGCACCCCACCAGCAGTGCCCAAGCATCACAGCCCTTCCAGGGCTTGCCTTCCACCCWCATTCCTGTGGCTGCAGGGGACCTGAAGACATGCAGGGCATCACAGCACTAACACCATCTGCATTCAGGCATCTACAGCTGGTCAGAGTCCTTCCTGGTGGCATTTCTGATGATTGGTTGAGGGTAAAACCTAGAAGGCTCTGCTTCCTTGCAGAACGGGGAAGAGAAGACATTTTCAGACCATGTCTGGTTTTGTCTCAAAAGCGTCACTGAATGCAACCAAACTCAGCCTCAGAACTCCAGTTAAGCCCAAGCCTGTCCGGCATGTGATTAGCACTTGAGATTCATTGGGAGAAACTAATCCATGACTGCCGAGTGCCACTGAGATGCAATGGCTGGGAGGGACCCCTCTGTCYTCACCTTCCTTACACTTCTTTCCAAATCATTCCCTAAAAATTGCCATGGGAAAAGGACATCCTGGAGCAAAGGACCCTGTGCTCTACGCCAGGTTTGAGTGCTTTGGTGGCATTCAGGGGAAGCTGTTAAGGGATCTCCACTGGAGAGCAGGAGCTCACCACTTGTGCAACRCACTTGAATGTACATGGGGGGCTGGGGCACTGATGGAGAGAGCGTTCAGACAGAAAAGGGAAAAAAACAGCTTCTAGCCTAGTAGGGACTAACAGCATCTCAGAGAATAATGTAACAATCCTCAGACACTGTTTTTCACCCTGCACAGTAGCATGAAGAGAGCCACCCCCAGGCTCTTTGCCCTGGCTAGAGGAAATAGGCTGAGTCAAGTGAAATTTCGGCAAGGAAAACACAGTGTRGATGTGACCAAATAGGCACCTCTTGTAACGTACAATGTGTGCTCGCTGTGAAATAGGAAATGTTGAATGCATGAGACAGGAGTGGTAACAAAAGCTTGGTCTATTTGCCTCCTAAAGGCAGATATTTACTGTTTGAGGTTTTTTTTCTAGTTGATGCTATTAAATGGATACCCTCCTTGCTGATATTTTTTATTACCCATAAATATAGAGAGCATTTTACAGAGGTAAAACTGCCTTTCTCTGCTGCAAGGAGTTACGAGCCTTAGGCAGACTAAACAAAGCCACAGCATGGGCCAGAAGAGTAGGGTCAGGAGAAAGGAGAAATAGCTATGCTGGTAATTCAGGTCAGGCTCTGGGGTTCAGCCCTTTGCTTTACAGCAAAAGTGTCCTTTCTTACATTGTATTATTTCACACACAAAGAATAAAGRACAAGTGAAATCTAAGAAGCAGTAGGCAAAGTTCAAACCTTTTGCCAGGGCAGCTCAGCAGCTGAGAGAGGTGACAGCAAAGTGCACTGCAGTCTTGCTGTGTTTGATGCCATGTGCTTGCTGAGAGGASCTGAGAAAAGCATCACTTTTTCCACCAGTGGAGAGTTGTATTGCAAGGCACTGAGAACACAAAYATGGGTCTTAGAGCATCTCTGTACTCCTCACTACCAGCCAAAGCTGAGTGGGCTTTAAGAGTGAACAAGAGAGAAAAGGAGACAATGGAAAAGGAGTAGACAAACCTYAGGGATGCTCTGCCTGGAAGTCATGGCAGGGAAAGGAGGTGGCAAAGCAGGTCGCTGAACAAGGCACTGTGGGAAGAGCAGGAAATGGTGGCACTTTAACGTGTACTGGTCCACCAGATGCTAAAGGGCATCTGGGAGGAGTAAGAATATCTGCCCATATAAGAATAGGAAGCAAAATTCATGTTTCCTGTTCAAGGCATTCCTCTGCAGTATCCCYCAGCATTCATGTTCCCCCCAAGATCCACTCTAGACGCAGTTTGGAATATGACTGACACAAAACCTTTCAGATTGGGTGTGGCTTAGCTTTAGCTACCACCCTCCCACTGCCTGGTCGTTGTATCTATGCTCCCCATAGAACTTCTTGTCAGCTGCTGCTAGATCATTACACAGCATCAAATAAYGCTGATGAAAAAGAGGTCAGGGTTATCTTTGATCACAGACCCTGCCTTCGGACAGAAAACATGCCCTAGAAACTTCTGCACTTGCTTTCCGATGGGACTATAAGGCAAGCAGAGTTTTGTAGCAGTACAGCAATTCAGGGAGGAGAAACGCCCTGTGAAAGCAGCACAGGAAGACAATTAATGTGGCAGTAAGACAACAAGACAATGCATCCTGCTCAGTGCACAGTGTCCCKGTGACAAGGTGAGAAGAGCAGCAGTGCTAACCACAAGTACCAACCACATCCTCTGCCTGTGACTGTGCTGCTCTTCCCTACACTCTGGGTACAATGGGTTGTACCCTCTACCTGCCAGGGTCATTKCATGTGCTCAGGGATCCCATCCTTATGTCCCTCCTCTCCGTCCAACAGCTTTACCCTGCCCCACTGCCACTGTCAACCCATTCCACCCAAGCAGGSATGGGAGGACCCTCCTGCCTCACCCTGGCTATTGTTCTTGTCCTGTCCCTCTGTGAGAGAAGGACCCTGATCTACCAGATGGGATCTCAGCCCAGGTGCTGGGATGGGACCATTCCACATGCTGAGGATGCAGGCAGGGCTGCTCACACTGCTGGGTGCGGCCACCACATGTTTTTGTCTTGSTTCCTCTTTTCATAAACACCAAAGTGCAAACTCAGCAATATAATCTCTGTCACAGGCAGCCCCAGGCTCTGGGGATGGCTGGGTGACTGAGCTCTGCAGAGTGTGATAAGAGCCTGCACACCTATAAGTTCCTGTTGCATCCCACTGTGCATGGACAGATCCTGGTCTTAGTGTGCACCTTGAAAACAAACAGGAAAGCCACACAATCCCATGCTGGTCTGGGGAGAACAGCTTCAGCAGGGAATATAATCTGGGCAGGTGAATATCCTCTGTTGCAGTTTCAGCCTTTGTTTATGTAWGACAGTGTACCGTTCTTACACTCTGTGCAACCACATGGGGACATTTTCCCTGGAAATGGGGTCCTGTGACACCTCTCACACAGAACAGACCCTGATTACATCAGCAGTTAAAGTTTCTGATCCCGTTCCCTGGGCTCTGTCACAGCCAGGGTACTTAATCAGCAGTATTCTCTGCCCTGCATCCACCCAGACACAACACTGCACTGGACCAGGAATACATGATTAGACACTAGTTTAATGATTTTTGTCATCTAACTCCAAGTTTAATGACTTTATCATCTAGCTCTAAGAAAACTAGTTTAGGGAAATACTCAATTTCAGACTGATACAGAACAATGCAAGGTCGCAGTCCCTGGACCGCAGTCCAAATGGCCGGACAGTGCAGCCTGCTAACATGTGAGCCTGCAAATTTCCATTGACTCTGCTGGCATCAAAGTGTGTAGCTTCTGTAGAAAGAGTCCAGCAGAAGCTGGGGATGCCCTGACCCTTCCAGCACCAAGGAAGTGCATTGAAGGGCAATGCCAGAGCATTGTAACTCCTGCCCCAGGCTCTTCTGGACACCCAGGGGCTCACTTATGGCTCCACAAGTTTTTAGGCACCAACACCAACACCCATCTCCTCTGTGGTGAGGATGTGGCACCTGCACACTGTGCAAGGACAGAGGGAGACCTTGTATTCCCAGCTCCATGGAGGAACACACACTTTGCTGCCCTTCATCCCCAGACAGACCACCACCTAAACACAACCCAACTGGTGGACTTGGGCCCCAGTGTGGATATCAGGTCTTTCTGATACAGCTGCTGTACCCTGCACACTGTGAAGATGCCCAGCAGCCCTGCATCAGGAGTGCAGTAAAACCTTCTCTTCAAGACAGAGGAWTGAGCACTTCTTACCTCCTTCCTGGGGTTTTCCATAATTTTTGGGATAGGGCTTACCACTATWTTGTGCTGCCAGCAGAGGGGTGAGGAGCAGGAAAAACATCCATCGCAGAGTCATGTCTGTCTGTGATCCCAGCACAGGACTGAGGTCTCACCACGCCGACTGTCTCACTGCACACACGTCTGATTGTGAGAGGTGCAAGCGCAGAAAGGAAACAGGCACACAGAGAAATCACATATGGTGCAAGAGGCTTCCTCATTGGAGAGGGAAACTCTGCCAGTGTCAGCACCGCCTTCTTTCTTTCAGCTCCATGACCCTTTTGCAATCTTCCTCTCTCCAATTGCTTCTCTAAAACCACAGTTTTCAGGCCTTCTGTCATTAACCACAGCTGGATTGCCTCCCCTCCCAGCACAGATCTCAGAAAGACTTGTGAGGTGCTCTGGTTTATGGCTGGGCTTTAGCAGGAAGACATGGTTTCCATGCTTACCCAGAAAGTCAGGCAGTGACTACAGCAGGATACCCCTGAACTTGTGGCTGCCTCAATAAKGATTGTGATAAAAAGGATTTCTGAAGGGCGCAGATGATGTTAATTACCTGTCAGTATGTGCCATGGATGGGAAAGCCAAAGTTTTGTCAGAAGTTGTTGGGTGCTCAGGACCAGGCTGAGAGCAGATGCTTGGGTGGAAGGTGACAAGAGCCCTGGGGACCTGGWGATCAAGTGCTGTGGCACGTTGTGTTGTCAAAACAGGGTGGGAGCASGAGTGACTGTGAAGGAGTGAGAGGCCAGCAGAGGCAGTGGCAGTGGGGCAGAAAGGGGTCACTGGTGAGGCTGATGGCCGCTGCAGCAGACCCAGCCATCAGTGGTCCAGRACAGGAGGTGATGAATTAGTGCTTTCCCAGCAATGCAGCAGCCCTTGCTGGATGTGCCTGGCCTGGATCCCAGCTGAAACACAGCTGGGAGAAAAACAAGYCCAGAAGCCTTCTCTGAGGCTTTGGAGCCAGGCTGCAGCCCTTGTAATGACCCTCCTCTGTAGTGCTCCTGGTGCTCCCACTCGTGGGGTCAGGCTCTGCTTTCCTCAGATGTGCACACCCAAATACCTTTATTCAGCAGTGTTGAGCAGTTGAATACAGTTGAAACACTCCCCCACCATCCAACCCCAAAATCTGTGTTCTTTTTCTGCCATTAGAGGAGGTGCTTGGGGGTATATAATCCCACAACGTTTCACCTCTCAGGGACAGAGCTGGAGACTGCCCAGCTATATTCCCTCCTAGGCTCAGAAAGGCAGTCTCAGCCTCTTCTCCCTTGTCTGTTTCACCCCTTCCTGCCACAGAGCTGGCAGGGCCAGGGGTCCCCACCCCCACAAACCTACCCYTTTATTTCCTTTGCTTAAAAACGAAGCTCACCCATAGGGAGTTCACTGAACACAAACTCACTTGCCCTGGAAAAGAAGAAGGGTAAAGCTGTCCTGGAGCACCAAGTACATAGACAGGACCCTGGTATTGCAGCAGGGCACAGACTGGAGGTTCCTGGGAGGTGGCTGTGCTCTGCCTCATCTATCAGGGGGGTTTGGGGAATGGGGGAAGTGACTGGTCCTCTGCCTCCAGCAACAGCTGCAACCCAGAGATCACCTCTCCCTGTCCCTTGGTGCATTTAGGCTTTTCAAGAAAGAGTTAAAGAGATATAAAAGCTCTTTTGGTGTCAACAGAAAAGTTCTTTGCTCTGGAGGATCTTCGGAAAAGGAGTAGGAGAATTCCATGAATTAAAAAAGACTGAAAAATCACATCCCTGATCCCTCTCTGCACCACTCCCAGCAGCACAGTAGCGCTCAGCTCCCATGTTACCAGTATCTGGCATCTCTGAAAACCCTCCATGCCCCCTGTGAAACCCCAAAAGCCACAGAAGGAAGTGTGGCCGAAACAGTTGTCAGGAAGCTCTCTAATTCTTCACACTTCCCCTTACTCCACATCAGAAAAATTCAGCCTGGAGCGTAACTCAGGCTCTGGCAGGAAGGATGGAGGAATGTTGCAAGACAGTTCTGCCTTCTCCAGAGGGTCCAACACATTCTGGTCACACCAAGCAAACCAAAAACCACAGGGGCACAGACAGGTGCACCTGGCAGGTCTGGCTCAGCTGGGACTGTGGGCAGGCTGGATCTCCGCAGATGCAGGCAAGGAGTTGTGTCCTGCTGCAGTGCCGGGGTCCAGGCGTGCTGCCTGAGTGTGTCCCATTCCACCACACACCTTGCAGGGCACTGGCACTGGAGCTGCTTCTTGCAGCAATTGTGTCACCCTGGGGATGTCAATCTGCTSTGAGGACACGCTCTCCCGTCAACCCTACAGATGTTGTGGCAGATTTGGAGCTCTTGAAGTGCTTGCAAAGAGGGCTGCTGGCTGCTTCTGCAGGCTGTTCTTTGCTCCCTTTTTTTTGTTTGCCTTGTCAAGAATTTACGTCTTACCTGTCTGATGCTATTTTTGTCCTCTAGACATGACTTCTTCTCTTTGAAGGAGCCTCTCTGTTTTGAATAACCTCTGGCCCTGGTGGTTATTCCTGCTGCTTTTCCTCTACCTTCTGATACCAGGTKCCCTGAAAGGCTTCATTAACTCTTTGCAAGATTGCTGGCCACTGTGATCAGGCTGCTTTATATGAGTTTCCTCTTTCCCACATATTTCCCCTTTCTGATGATGATTAAGACAACCCTGGACTTTTCAATCTTTGGTAACTGTGCCGTGTCATGGAAACAAAGCATSTTGAGGCTGACAACAGCAGGCAGCCCTTTCCTGGGAGCATGCTTGGCCCATATTTCCAGCACAGAACTGAGTTCCCCATCTTTTCCCCAGTCTCGTGGTTCATGTGGAAAAGCCACACAYTGACACCTTGCTTGCAAACCAGACATGGGGATGCTTGAAGACCAACAGCAGAAGCACTATACCCTGTCCCATCCTTTCATGTGGGATTTGTGTTCCCAGAAGTGTATCCATGGTGCAAAGAGGCCTGCATCCCTCCTCTGAAGCAGGGGCCCCATCACCAGGGCCATACAGAATTGAAAAGAACAGAATAAGCTGAGTTGGAAAGTACCCACAAGGTTATTTTCAACTTTTAGCCCTGCACAGAGCATCCCCAAGAGTCACACCAGGGGCCTGAGAGCACTGTCCAAACACTTCTTAAACTCTGTMAGGYTTGGTGCTGTGATCCTTTCTCTGGGGAACCTGTTCCAGTGCCTGACCATCCTCTGGGASAAAAACCTTTTCCTGACAGCCAACCTGCACCTTTGTCTCAGCTTCAGGCCATTCCCTCAGGTCCTGTCCCTGGTCACCACAAAGAGATCAGTGCCTGAAATGGCTTCTGCCTGCACCTGGAAGAGCGCTGGCCCCCACRTGTGCTCCTGACCTGCTGGAATCTCTCTGGGAGCAGCATCAGGCTTGCCAATCCTCCCCCGCCATGGAGCACACGTAGCTGCCAGTGCCAGACTGGGCCTTGCCCCACGAGCATCCAGGCCGGGGAAAAGGACCTGGGCCACTCGTGGGCAATGCTGACACTGAAATTCACCGAAAGGAAGCCTTGTGGGTCTCTCCATACAGCTGGAGGCCCTGAGGCAGGGAGGGAGCTGGCAGAGGGGCYGAGGGAGGAAGTTGGCGCAGCAAGAGCTGATTTTGGTGCCAGGCCTCAGGATGGTGCCGCAACAGCAGCACTGTCCTTCCTCCAGCTGAAGGGGAACCAGGCTGTGCCCCAGTGCCAGCCCAGCCTCARCACTCCTGGCCTGCTGCCACAGGTGGGGTGACACTGATCAGGGACCTGGGAGATGGCTCCTGTGACCCCCAGCAGCCGTGCCTAGGGCAAGCCTGTCCCCATGCTAGGCTGTAGCTGGGCTGGCACAAAAGCTGGGTGTTCAGCAAAACAAAGGTCCCAGGGATTAATATGAGCTTCTACTTAGTTTTATGTCCCCAAAGCAGATATGTCAGAGACACCTGCATGCTCATCCCCAGCCTGTCAGCCCCTGCCCATCGGGGCACAGCTGCTGAGTGGAGCCTTGTGSGATTTCAAATGTTCAAGGTTGGGCCGGACTGGATGGGCCTTTGAGCAGCTTGGTCCAGTGAGTGGCATCCCTGTGCATGGTGGAACCAGATGATCTTTAATGGTCCTTTCATACCCGAACCATTCTTTGATTCTGCGAACTGTGTGTGTGTCACTGCCTGCTGAACGCTCGCAGTCTGAGCATGGGCTYTGGCTGTCTGGAGTGCCATAGGGAGGAAAGGCATTCCCTTCTCTCCTCCAGTATATGTCAGGATTTTCCATTGGACACACTCATTCTGGAGTTGCTTCAGCACTGGCAGGCATCCGGGATCCATGGCCAGAGCCTTTGACCTGAGGATGAGCCAGGTCCTGACAACCTGGGCAGAGAGGGTCCATGGGGACCTGCCAGGACCCCCAAGCACTTGACAGTAACAGATTCCCCCCTCCCTTTGAGCTGGCACGTCTCTCAGGTTGTCATGCTTGTCTGGACTCCTACGGCATCCCTWATTTACCCCAGCCCTGCTGCCACCTTAGCTCTACCAGCACTGAGTGCCACAGGCATGTGTGTCATTGCCCCCAGCTCCTGTACCACGCACAGCAGATTCCAGTACCGTGGAACTTGGCTCATCTTTGCTTCCCACAGGAGGAATCTCGGCTTCCATTTTTCACCCACAGAGCCCAGCACTGCTTTGCTAGGACCTGCTTTGAGATCTGAAAGGAAGCCGGAAGCAACTTTGCTGAGCAGCAGAGGACACACCTGCTGCTCAGGTGACATAAGACGGGTGACATGAGACAGGCAGGAGTGGCATGTTGGTGATGGTCCAGAGTCGACACTGCACCTCAGGACATGTCAGGGGCCTGGACCAGCTGAGGAGCCAGGCTCTGGTCAGCAGTAGTCTCCCCAGAGAACAGGAGCTCCCATGATGATTATCAACAGACACTCCATGTCCTTCTTYATATTTAGACTCTGACAGGGCTCACAGGCCCATGTTCCCAACAGGATCCTACAGCTGACACTCCAGGACCAGGCCACTAGCAGAACCACCAGTCACAGCTCCAGTACTGTCCTCTACTGTCCCAATGTCCCATGCACATTGCTGCATGCTTCCAGTCACGCAGRCTTCAAGGGCTTTGTGCCCCAGGCAAGTTCCTGGATGGCACAGTTTATGTGAAAGCCACCA